ATGGCCGAAAGTCTAAGTCAATTTCGGCCGAAACCGAAGAAAAACCGAAAGTTAACTTTTCTCTTTCGGCCGAAACCGAAATAAAGCCGAAAGTTAACTTTTCAGTTTCGGCCGAAACCGAAACTTGGCCGAAAGTGATCAAATAGCCACTTTCGGCGCCGAAACCGAAGCCGAAGCCGAAATTCGGTCGGTCTCTAGTGTGTATATTATGTTATGGTTGTGTAAACAGTGGACCTTCACACTCAGTATTAGTTATAAAACTTTCCAAATAATTAACATTAAAATCGAACAGATCACTATTTTTTTTAGTGTTCATGTTCTGACTTCATAACTAATGAGAAATAGTTTTATTTCATTCTTTGTAGTTATTTGTCATAGCCAAGCTAAGCAAGCAAGAATCCAACAGTTTTATAATTTTGAGTGCACCTAGAATAACTAATCCATGCTCTTATTTTTGTGTGAAAATATATTGCTTTACACCTTAAATGAAATACAGAAATTCATGATTTCCCTAAAATTTCATCAAATAGGGAACATGAAAATAAATAATTCAGCAGCCAGTTCTTTTTTTTTAAGGAGCCAAGATTTTTCCCAAAAATTTTTGGTTTGTTTTTACAAATATTTTTATAACTGATGACAATGCCATAAAAATAACTGTTTTTGGGGGTCCATATATGCCTCTGCATAGACAACATTTTGACTCATGTGAACTGGGGATCATCTATGGTTCTTCATTATTTTAGGACCTTAAATTTATAAACATAAAGAAAGTTTTATCAAAATATTAAAATAGGTGCCTCATGTGGTGTAAATGTGCTGCTGAGGTTAATATTATGCACCTTAAGAAATCACTCCTATCTCATCGTATATTTCTTTTGCTAACTTTTTCATAATATACTATTTATTCTGGTATTTGAGAAAGACATCTACTAGTCAAGTGAGTTTCATTGGTCACTGCTAAGGTTTTTATAAATGGCATAACAAAATGTGCAGCTTATAACCAAAGCAATTTTTTCTTCAAAGAAATCCATCAACTATTTATAAGATTGGCCACTTGACCAAATATTTTCTTTTCAATGCCAGTAAGAAATGAACATGGACATATTAGCCTAATTATTAACAGAAAGCATTGAACAGAATGAGATTACATTCCTACCCTTACCCAACAAACCAGATGATTAGCTTCATCATAAAACTTAAGGTAAATGAAGTGATCAAACAAATATTCAATGCCACAATAAAAAAATATAATTGAACACAGAACTGAAAATGCTCAAACTATGACCTTAGAGACCCTTAGGGAATACATTATTTACATTCAAGTAATAAAGATCCAAGTCTCATTGCTCAGATTTTTATGATGTTCAAAAGCAAGCACCCAGTATACAACTTACAACCAACAGGCTGTGCTATTCAGACAGTGAGATGGAGTGCTCTGCAGTGCACTGTGTTGTGTTTCACAAGATCATAACGAAACTGAAGAAATTTGCTAGGTGACGAAGCATCAGATAAATCATTATGAAAATTTACCTGAATACTGTGCACAAAATATCTCAATTGTGAGAACATCACTTAAGTCATTTTTAAAAATAATTTATATTAAAAATGACTTAGCATAAAAATAATTGTTTCTCAGTATTAAATGAGTGAAAAGGTTTCACTAAGATTATCATCAAACATATAAATATAACACAGTTTCACCTGTATCTTGGTGAGAGTTTTATTGTCATGTCTAATCTAACGAACAGTAATGTAGTGTATCAAAATTATTGAAATGAATGTGTAAACTCCTGAATCTTTTTGCTTTGATATTTATATTCCTGCTGTATTTTTTCTACTGGTACCTAAAATTATCTGAGATTCTTTAACTTTTGTTAAAACATAAATAAAATGCAGATTTTTAAGAACATTTATTTTTCATAATAAAAAATAAGAATATTTTAAAACCTGAAATAAGAATGTTGAATTCATATTTGTGTGTGTGTGTGTAGATACAGTAATTAAATTTATTTTAAAAAAGAACACTAAAAGTATTACAGTTTGTGAGGAGCCAAATTTTTAACTGAAAAAGGTATCACATTTTTTAGGACTGTGCCCCTCATCCCTAATCCAATTATTACTGATGTAGGGCGTTTTGATTTAAGGTGTATGAAAATATATATTCTGTTTAGTAAGCATAATTTGTTAATAATATTTTTTTCGTAAATCTATTTTTGGTCTACAGCATTATTAAATAACTTGTTTGTGACTATTCATGATAATCCAACATTTATAGTTACCCTACAATGTTTAAACTGAACCCTTGAAATGTATGTCAAAGGTGACACACCATAATGTTTTTGGTTAACATTTCAAACACAATGTACAAAAACCTGTTCAATATTCAGATATTCTCTTCTTGAAACTTTACAGTTCAATACACACATTTTTTTTTCTATTTCCATTAAATTATTTTCATTCTTTAAGCATTATTTCAATACTAACTATTATTGAGTGTATCAGTTTTAATATATAGGCCTACAAAATTAAAATTATTTCTTTTTTGCTTTTTTGGAGACATGAAAACAAAGTTTTTATTGCCATCACATTCTGGGTCAAATAATTGACAATCTTCTGTATTTCAATTATATTTTAATATTATTTCTGGAGGTTTTAATATTAAATTATGTAATATAGTTTTGGCTTTCATGAATACATTTTTGTAACTTATTTTAGAATTTTTCTTTCATCAAGAACAATATAAATTATAAATAATATTTTTCTCCTATTAATTTGATAAAAATTTTGGAATGCATGTAAAAGTCCCACAAATTATAATAGTTCATCCGGTTAAATGGTTAACACTGACTCTTTAAATCTTAGGTTCTTGAAGAGATGCCTGTAATTTAACTTAACATTTTCAACTCAGACCAGCAGATAAACATTTTGAGCATATTGACACTTCTTAGTAATTGGTTTAAACAAGATAATAAAATTTGATAAATATTTTTAGATCTTCCATTTAAGTCTTTTAGTTGATGCCCTTCCTTTATTTTAGATAAATTATGAGAGAAAAAAAAATCCATCAATAAAAATAAATTCAAATAAGTGCATCATGTTAAAATTTGAGCAAACAAATTTTTGAACTATGTAAGACTAGAAATAAAATCAAATCAAATGATTCAAATTATTTTCTCTACTGATACCAAATATGCTAGAGAAAATTTAAAACAATTGAGCTTATGTTTTTAATAATTAATAAATTTCTCGCTGCAGCATAAAATTGTGATCTTATAAGTGAAACTTATTCTGCACACACTGAACCATATCTTGTAAAATTTTCTATCAGAAAGTTAATTTTTAAAAAATTGTTTTATTACACTTTTTGTTAAGGAAACTTGCAAAAAACTTAAATACCAAAGGAAAATCAGAATCAAAACTAAATTACAAATAATTTCAAATAGGATAGCGCAGAGGTATAGTAAAGCTTGGGACCCTCCCTACTCCTGTGATTGTCAATGTTTCATCCCAGAGTCTAGCTGTAGCATAAGCATTTCCACCTGGACGTGTCTCTATGATCCCCTGTAAGGTGATGTGTTGAATGCCATGATTGTCAACAAAGTCCCAGCCAGCATGCTCATGCCCAGCAAATACTCCAATAACACATCTGAACTGACGGATCACATTCATTATTTCTTCATAGTTCCAAACGAGACATATGGCATAGTCTCTGTCTTCACACTGAAGGGCAACGTGAGCTGTTAAAAGGAAAAAAAAATTTGTCTTTTTTTAAAAATGGTGCACACAGGGACATAGACATCAAACTTTGATAAAAAAACATAGATACAAATACAAAGGGAAAAGAGCTCAACAGAGATAATAATATAATAAAAATTAGAGCAACAAAAGACATTGTTTTGGAAGAGATGCTGGTACAAATGAAGAAATATACATAACATATCAAAAGATAGATATTTATGATAATCATTATGTCTCTGTTGATGTACAAGGAAGTGGTCCTAAATGAGCGACAGTTACAAAATAAAAATCTATGTCATTTTAAGATATGGATATAATTTTTTTAACTATTTCTACAAAAATGTTTACTTTTGTGCCTGGTGTTTGCCTGCTAGTGAAGACGTATCTACCAACAAAATTAATGTTTTCTTTCTTGCAATACTCCAAAAATACATGTTCTTTTAAAAAACAAATATTATGCTATCCACTAGACTTAATTACCAGTGAGTTGGCTTTAATTTTCAACACTTTTTAACCCATTTAAACACAAGACTTATCAAAAGCAATTATATCCATTTTAGATTTTTAAAATGCAACGAAGAGGCCTACTTACTTATTATGATTACATTTTCTTCTTTGGATTGTGCTTTGTTTAAGACCTGGGCCAGCCATTGCAACTGTTTTTCACTAATACCACCATTGTAAGCTGCCCAACGTTTTTCTAGTCCTTCCAAACCCACAACATCATTGATGTCCTCATTAGAGTTGTGCTGTCTGAACCAAAGTTGTGCGGTTTTGAAGTTTTCATCATCTGGGCTGTCTTTGTATCCCAGTAAACCAACCTCGTAGGTGTCAAGGGCAACAACTCTAAGTTTTGGATGCGGAAGAAATGTGTAATAAAGGTGATTTGTCGTAGTTTCAATGCTGAGGGAAAGGGAACTGTTTAGAGCTGATGTCAGGTAGAAAGACCGGTTCAGATTGTACAAGTCATGGTTACCTATGACATGGTAAACTGGTATGTGGAGGGAATTAAAAGGATGAAGAGCTGTAGACAAAGCCTTTTTACTACTGTTTTCACCACCAAGATTGTTTTTGCCATCAATCAGATCTCCCAGCTGGAGCACAAAGGCAACAGGGTCATCCAAACGCTTCCAGTCATTGATAGCATTTTTCAGCAGGCTCAAAGAATTTCTGTAGAAGCGTTCTCGTGTTTTTGAAAAGTCTGTACCATCATCACAATCTGCATACTGAACATCGGCCACAATGCCAAATGTGATGTGGGGCTTTTCCCGAATGGAAGTTGAAGCCATGGATCCAATGTAGCTGGAGATGATCTAAAGATATAATGAAAGAGTCATAAACATTTTTAATACCAGAGTTATTTTTAAAGTGAAAAAAATATGGCCTGATGTGACAATGATAATCATGATTACAATTTAGTAATGCCTTACAGTTAAATTCAATATAATTTCCTGACAAAAAAAAGTGCTTAGTAGTGGAGGCTGACATTGAATGACAAAACATTAGCTCGAGAAGTATAGAATTAGAAAGCATTTGGTAAACTTTTAACATTACAGCAAGAATTGTATAGATTATAATACCTTGTGTTTCCCATGTTATAAAACAAGACAAATTCCTGTTTTTTAATAACTTACATGTTGCAGAATTAAAAACACCAAAGATAAAAGTAAAAATAACAGCAGCAGAGATTTCCTCGCTGGCAGCTCTTTGAAAACTATGGTGGTTGCTGTTTGATGTTGTTGTTAATACGTCTTATTGATAAACAGTTGCAATCTGTAATGTACAGTTTAATTTTTCTTTATGAGCAAAAAAAATCATATGATTATCATTTTAAAAAAAGTCTATGCACTATTAGTTTTGACAAATCTTGGCTATGAAAAATTCTCTACATTCTATTTTTAAAAAAAATTTGTATGGTAAAAAAAAACTTGTATGTTTAGTAAATATTATTGCAAGGGGCCATACAATTCTTTGTGTTTTCAAAAGTGAATACGCTGGATATCACACTAGTAAAAGAGGAATATTTAGTCCACCATTCATCTATGAAGCCATCATAAATGCCCAGGCCCTTTCAAGGGAAGTGTATGTGGGAGGGAGGGTCCACAAATGTGTCATTTAAGTGTGGCCCTATATCTAATTTTTTTCACAGATTTATGAGGATGCGTCGGGGGGGGGGGAGGGGGGGATTCTGTTGGTTCCTAGAATGTTTTTGATTTTTGGCACCCTCTGCCAAGATAGGTTTTCTCCAGGCCCATTGTATCAAATTTTAACATATACGTTTTTGAGATCTTCATTAGATTCTTATTTAATAAAGAGTTGCCCTTTTCACATGGCTCCGCCCAAGGGCAATGCGGCTTCCCAGCATGACACGGTGCATATTTTAGGAACCACTGGGCTCACTAAACAGTGGGAAATAAATTGATTTGTTGGTTGATTTTGTGTGTGGGGGGTGAGGGGTCAGAGCTCATTGACCATATGCACAGGGAGCGTCTAAAAAAGAATGCAAGCAACAGGGGGAGGGGGGTCTAAAATTGTACTCTTTTTGCATACAACTAAATTGATGGCCCCTAATGCTGATGACTATAAAAGAAGCTTACACTTAATAATGGTAATGAATCATTGTTATTTTTAGGGGAAATGTTCAAGAAATTATTGGTAGAAATAGATCAAATTAATGTAGCAAAACTTTTAAAATTATTTTTTAATATTATTATTGTAAATACAATTGTTTTTCTTATTCTTTCAAAAATAAAAGTAAAATTCGAAAGCAAGAAATTTAAACATATGAAACTGAAAGCAATATTTAAAAGAAAATATTATGAGCCAAGATTATCTGTTTTATTACTGAAATCAAACATAGCAGTTGCAGTAAGGCTGTAAGGGTAAGATTAATTTATGAGCTTTTAGATGAATAATTGGATTAGTTTAGCTAATTTTCTATATCAGGAATTTTAATTCTCTGTATTCATCCTTAAAAGAAAAAAAAATGTAGGTATTTTTGCTTTTGGTTTTTACAACAAATATGCTATAATGAGATATTATTAATTGATTCACCGAGGATTGTCCTTTCTTCTTAAATTTTCATCACCAAAATATCTTTAGTTTTTTTGCAATTGTTACTAGGCCTATATTGTTACTTCATTTCTCAGCATTCACCACAAATTTAATAATTTAATTCAAAAAATTTAATTAAATATATTACCAATGGGTGAATATATGCAAAAGGGGGACTGCATAAAATACCAAAACTGCAAATAATTTATGATTAAAGATTTATTTTTACATTTTTTAATGACCTTCTCATTTTGACTATGACAATGAATATAAATAATGAAGTTAATAATTAATGAAGGAATTTAAATTTTTGTCATTTTGAAGGCCTAGTAGCTAGTATTTATTAGTAAGTATGATGACTTTGTTGACCTTTTCTTTTTTGAATGGGTAGCCTAATGGATATTGCTAACTTGTTAACTGTTCTTGTTAACTATGGTAATTAAAAATGTAAATTAGAATTGATTTTTGCCTTTGTTGGCATACTTGGAAGTCCTACTTGACTTGAATTACCAAATTTTTTAAAAAGTACTTTTGAAATGTGTGTCTGGGTAGTCACTCATAATTGGTTCCACATCTTTCATAAAGCATAATATTGAACGACACAAATATAAATGCCATTAAGTTAACTAGAATTTAAAGTTTTAATATTATAATTTATATCACATACTTATATAATGGTGTTATTTAAACTTGTTATTAGTATTAACGACGTGGAACAAAAATGATGACATTGGCAACACAACATAATTTTTCAAGAGTGACTTCCCTTAGAGGAAAAAAAAAACTAAAGAAAAGTAAATATTGAAAATTTCACTGCAAGTTTTAAGCCTACTTTAACTTTAAGCGGAAAAAATGTATAACAAAAGTAAAGTTAACTAATTTTCAAACCATCCATTTTTTCACAAATCTCATATGCGCTTAAAAAGCGAAAAAGGGGCGTCCATTAATTACTTCAACAAAATAGGAAAGGGGGTGGGGGGGGGGGAGAGTTTTGGAAATGTTTGACAGGTTGTTGACAAGGGAGAGGGAGGCGGGGAGGGGGTTTAGACTAGTTAACGTCAACAAAAATGTTTTCTCTATTAAAATTTTAATCTTAAAAATTGACTTGTTTTTACATTATTATCACAAATCTCATATGCGCTTAAAAAGCGAAAAAGGGGCGTCCATTAATTACTTCAACAAAATAGGAAAGGGGGTGGGGGGGGGGGAGAGTTTTGGAAATGTTTGACAGGTTGTTGACAAGGGAGAAGGAGGCGGGGAGAGGGTTTAGACTAGTTAACGTCAACAAAACTGTTTTCTCTATTAAAATTTTAATCTTAAAAATTGACTTGTTATTACATTATTTTACAAATGTTGTAAATGTAAATGAATAAATTATGGTCATATAATTTTTAGTCTAATAATATCGGATTTATTTAACGTGTGTCTGTGCACTGCAGATGGCTGGTCAAACTTGCAAATTGTAGGGGGAGGGGGGGCACATTCCCCGCTGCCCTACCCAAAATGATGTCCCTGTTTCTATAAATAAAGCAAACCTGGCTACTCCTTGGGAAGATGATAGCAGCAAGAAACTTTACTATAATTGTCAGCTTTACTGAGAATAATCATATTTATTCCTCAAACAATAATATTGAGTCTTTAACAACCTTTCAATTGATTCTGCATTATAAAATTTAACTGTAAAAGCTCATTAACTTGTTGATTAACAACCTAAAGATGTAATGAATTGTTTTTCCTACAATTTTTATTGTCATAGGTCAGCACAAAGTAAAATGTATTTATAAATTTATTTATGATATAATTCCTTTAGGATGGGGGGTGGGGGTTAGAAAATGTTAACATAATAAAATAGGGGGGTCATTGAAAGTTTGACAGTTATTGACAAGGGGGGGGGGGGAAGGGGGTTCCAAAAATTGCTTGTAAAGAGTTGACGTAATTAATGATCGACCCCAAACGACATGTTAATGTTGGGAAAATATTTATTATAATAATTATAATGTTTATTTTTGAAGTAAGAAATGCATGTAATATCGCTCAAATCTAAATACTGATGTTGAATATTTTGTTTTATTGGTTAATTTTGTAAGTTAAAGGCTGAAAGGGGAAGATGCATAACTGGGCAAGCTTTGTTCATTACCCTTCTTAGTTCGTATTAAAATATCGGTGGTTGTAAAACTAACAATATCTAATATAGAATTGTTCAGAAAGTTTGATAATTTTGGAAAGCGATTTCTATGGAATTTAAAAATAGATTTTAATGGGACTAATTTTAAATTTGAACTCTATGATTAATCCGACTGATTTTTATGCCCCCCCACCCCCCTTAGACAAAAAAGGTTCGGTACAATTATGGAATGGGCCCCCCCGGGGCCGCTCTTTCATCTTAAATGTACTATAATTATAGTAGTCCATTTAGTTTCATAATTTTTCATATTCGAAGAATAATTACTTACAAAAGACATTTTTTACACGTTTCGAGGAGGTTATTAAATTTAATCTAGAATGTTTGCGAAAGTTCTATATAGTTCTACGGGGATATATTAAGTGATGTAAAAGCTTAACGAGATCCAGCAGCAAATTGAACCCAACGGTAACACGATCCAATCGGGTAATGGGACCAAATCAGGATCGGGATCCTATCAGGAAATGGGATTTTATCAGAGAAGAGGATCCCACCGGGAAACGGGATACTAACGGGATCAACATCTTAAATGGGATCGGGATTCCATTCGGATCGGGATCCTATAGGAAAACTCAAACCTACCGAGATCAATACCCCACCGTTATCGGGATCCCACCAGTATCGTTATCCCACTGTTATTGAGATACCACCGGGATCGGAATACCAAATAGACTGGAATCATCCGGAATTGGGATCCTGAGGGATCGAAATCCAACCGGGAAACGGTGTACTAACGGATTGGGAGCCCAGCAGGATCGGAATAATTGTAAGGCTCTAGATTGCAGAAGTTCTTTCGTTCTAAATGCTATCCCGGCAAAAGCCGGGTATATCCGCTAGTTTATATATATATAAAAGTGAAAATTTGTTTGTTTGTTTGTGGCTTTCGTTGTTCCACAAAGGCCTTTACATGGATTGATGGATGGATCTTGACCAAACTAATGGGGGCTCGAGATACAACAGTAAACTGCAACCCATCGGTCACGCGATCCCATCGGGGAACGCGATACCATCGGGATCCCAAAGGGTAATGCGATCAAACTGGGATCGGGATCCTTTGGAAAAAGGGTCAAATCGGAAAAGAGAGTCCCTAGGTGGAACGGGATCCCACAGAGAAAAAGTATCCTAACGGAATCGGTAGCCCATCGGGATCCATCGCGATCGGGATCCCACTGGGATCAAGACACGGACGGGATCGGGATCCCACGGAGATCTAGATTCCCCCTGGATCCGGAGCCACAAGAAAAGAGGATCCCACCGGGAAGCGAATCACCGGGAAAAGGGATTGCACTGGGATCTTGGTTAGAATGGGATTGGGGTCTCACCAGGATCGGGGTCCTAATTCAATCCCGTGCAACGCTGGGTATATTTGCTAGTCATATATATAATATATATATATATATATATATATAAATCTATACATATAAAAGTAAACATTTGTGGGTCTGTCCGTTCCACAAAGGCTTTGACATGGATATATGGATCTGGCCAAACTTGGCATAATATCCATCAGTATCCAGAAGGACCCTTTAAGGGGTTATTTAAATTTTTTAAACATTCCGTTTGGGGACGGGTGCCCCATTTTGTTTTCCTAGTATGAGCTATGTTACTAAAATTAACAAAAATTACTTCTACATGAGGAGATGGATCTTCACCAAACTTATAACACATACACTTGATTATCCATATTCAAATACCTAAGGGTGCTGAACTCATAATATCCATCCCTATTAGGCTGGGGGCCTCGTTTCATTTTTCCTTATTTAAGTTATATAATTATCAAGAGGCTTAGACAACACGATAGGATCTATGTGAATTGATGGATATAGGCTTAGGGTGGTAGCAATACACTTAAATGGAACTTGATAAGGAAGGCCACTTAGATGTTGTATTTAAACTAATATAATTGAAATGCAGATAATTCTTCAATGGACAGTTTGTTGTTGAGTTAATATTGTAAAGTGAACAAAGGTGTTCTTTGGAGATGGGGCGTAACAAGAACCTATTTCTAGTGTTACTAATAATCAAAATCAGCAGCAATTGCCAAAAAAATATATATTTATGCCTACCTGTTAGCTAACGAAACTTTGTGCTCTCATTGTTCATTTCCCCTGATATTCATTGCAAAATATTACACATTTTCCGTTAACCTGACGTCTACAAAAGGGGCGGGTTAACCTGACGTCTACAAAAGGGGCGGGGGGGGGGAATTGTATGAATGCAATTATATTTATTGGCCACTGTTTGAGATATACCTGCAAAAAAAAAAAAAATCGTTTATCAACCTTTACATGAAAGAGGACCACCTGAATCCCCATAACATGTAACATGTTCCACGTAATCAATCAAGTCCAAACACAAATTCCAGAAATCTAATTTTCCTCCTAGGAAAGAAGAAGTGAAAATACAAAGGCTCTATGGCATGATATTCATTTTGGCTTGTTTAAGTATACGGCTTAATTCCTGCGTATAGTTCAGTCTTCTTAAATCAGTCACATAGCAATCTCTGTCCTCACCGTTCTCAATTGTTTGTCCTGGTTTGGGAAGACAAACAGGTTTGACATATTGATTGAATATCACCGCTGTGTCCAGTTTTATTAAAGGGATATCATCAACTTTTTGGGATGTTTAACCTTTGTGAACAACAACCTTTCAAGCTCTTCGACGCTGAATCCTGAGCACATCAAGGGCTGCAGGCTGAACGTTTTAAAGAAAGTTATGGAATAATTGATATATTAAAAAAAACCTATATTAATATCTACAATTGAAATTTTTGCTATTATTTAATAAGATGTTAATTCTTACTGCATTGCTCTATTATGACATAAATCTTCAACAAAACCTTATAATTCATATAATCATATAATCTTGCTCCAAGATATAGCACCAGTTCCGAAATAAGGGAAACCCCACAATAGCTTGTCTGATTGCTGGATCTTGCATACAAAATAGCTTGCCATGGCGAGGCTCTCTCTGGGGCATCGTGACCCTTACAATGGCCGTACTACCATCGACAGCAGGCTTTCCACACTCGGTGAAATTGTCAAATAGAATTTTAGATGATTTACTGAAAGGTAACTTTAATTTACGTAGTCCAATAGTAATACCGTTGTATAATACTTTTGTATAATAATAACTTTCTGCTTGCGAGTGACACTTGGAAACACTTTATTGGTCTACCACGATGAAGTAAAGAGATTTAGCTATAAAAATCCATTTTTATTAAAACTTGTCTAGTTTACTATCTAAAAAAACACGAGTAACCTATTTTAGCGGCCATAATTTCTTTAAAAAATATATATATGTTTCCATATATAGTTATTAGATATCGCAAATTAATTTTTTGGGTCATTTTCCTGGATGATTATCACTTATAAGAATAATGCAATGCAGTACACATGCACTTATCGGCCTGTGAGCGTCTCACTTACAGCTTTGAAGACACTAACAAATAATATTTTAAGAAAAATATTTCAAAATCAAGGCTAAGACAATTAATGCCTATCTTTGTCTGTTGTCCTGTCCGTCTACCTGTCTGTCTCACTGTCTGTCTGTCAGCCTTTTTCTCTGTCTACATGTATCTCTGCATGTCTGTCTGTCTCTCTTCATGTCTGTCTGTCTATCTCTCTGCATGTCTGTCTGTCTTTTTGTCGTTCTGTCTGTCTGCCTGACTGCATGCCTGTCTGCCTCTCTGCATGTCTGTCTGCCTGTCTCTCTGCGTGTCTCTTCGTCTGTCTTTTTGTCGTTCAGTCTGTCTGCCTGACTGCATGCATGTTTGCTTTTGTGTTTGTGCGTGTGTATATGTGTGTGGGTGACTTGGTTATGTATGAAAAGAAACAAATACATACGAACACATACGAACACATGAAAGCATACGACTCGCGCGAATAGACACGAGCACACTCGAATAAACAAACACATGAACAAACACGATCACACTCACATGAAAAACCCGAACACATACATACGAAAGCTCATGAGCGCCCACGAACATACACACTTGAACATAAATAAACACAAACAAAAATTGAAAACACTCGATAACACACACATAGACACACGAACACACACTCACAAAAAGCAAAGGAAATTTATCGAACACACGCACACACAAACACAAACACTCACGAACTCACAAAGAGGACAGAAACGAACACACATATATTTACGACGAAAACACACACACACGTACGAACACAGACGAAACCACAAGAAAACTCTCGTACACACAAGAAAATAAAACAAGTGAAGACATACGGAAAAAACACGAACAAGCGCGAACACACTAAAACACAAACTAACACATACGATCAAACATACAAATATATTCACAAACAAACAAACACACACGATAGCATATGTTAAATTATTTAAAAATCATTTTTTTTCTTACACATTTCCCCAGGGGGGCACTTGACTTGCTCCGGGGGGGGGGGGGGGGCAATCCCCCCACCCCGGAGGTATGCCTGAAAGAAACCCTGGACACGAATGTACAGGAACACATTTGGATACACAGGAACACACTCGAACATAAACGATCAAACACAAGCACAAAAACACACAAGAAAACATCGGGAATTTTATTTAGTGAAATCAGCGCCTCCTGGAAGCGTTATTGATATCTGTTACATAGAAAATTATGTATTTTAATTCTTCGGTACTGTAAAATTATTTTCACCACCCCGGAGGTATGCCTGAAAGAAACCCTGGACACGAATGTACATGAACACATTTGGATACACAGGAACACACTCGAACATACACGATCAAACACGAGCACAAAAACACACAAGAAAACGCAACGAACACTAACAGAATCGAAGACACACGATGACACATGAAGACACAAACACACAAGAAAAAAAACAATAATGTTCTACCTAAAAAACAAATACCCTAAAAAACAAATACACACAAAGAAATACATAAGGATAAAAACATATGAACACACACGAACATGAACAAGCACACACGAATACACACTTGAACACACAAACACATACGAACATACACTAACACACAGGAATACACACTAACACATAGGAATACATACGAACACACACATACACATTAACACTCAAGATCACACTTACTTGAAAACCTACGTAAACACAAAATGAACATACATGAACGCACACAAACACACATGAAAATACATGAACACAACCGAAAATACACGATCACACAGGAACACAAGGGAACAAATATGAATTCACACAAACACACACGAATAAATACATACGAACACACACGCGATTAAACACATACATACATGAACGCACACGAACACACTTGAACACTCACGAACACACAAGAACACACATGAACGCATACGAGCACACGCGAACATTCACAAACACACGTGAAATCACCCAATAAGACACGATCACACACAAACATACAAAAACACACACAGACTGGTACACACACGAAGAGACACGGTCAAGCACGAACACATGCGCACGAATTTAAAGGAACACACACACACGCGCGCAAACTGAAGATTTCACATGAAGTCACAAGTACACATGAAAACACATACACACACACCAAAACACGAAAACAAAGGAATACACGTGAACACACACGAACACATCCGAACAAAGACGATCCCACACGAAAACTCACACACGAACACACACACAGGAACATACACAAATATAATAATATACGAACACTCACGAACACATAATATACACACACACGAAAATATACAAAAATTAAAACACACGAACGCACATGAACACACGAATATGCACGAACACACGCGAACACACACAAACACTTACGACCATACACGAACACTCACACGAACACTCACACGAACACACATACAACTACTCACGAACACACACATCTCGACAATGCTGACAGTAAAATGGTTCACATCTCGACAATGCTGACAGTAAAATGGTTCACATCTCGACAATGCTGACAGTAAAATGGTTCACATCTCGATAATGCTGACAGTAAAATGGTTCACATCTCAACAATGCTGACAGTAAAATGGTTCACATCTCAACAATGCTGACAGTAAAATGGTTCACATCTCAACAATGCTGACAGTAAAATGGTTCACATCTCAACAATGCTGACAGTAAAATGGTTCACATCTCAACAATGCTGACAGTAAAATGGTTCACATCTCGACAATGCTGACAGTAAAATGGTTCACATCTCAACAATGCTGACAGTAAAATGGTTCACATCTCAACAATGCTGACAGTAAAATGGTTCACATCTCGACAATGCTGACAGTAAAATGGTTCACATCTCAACAATGCTGACAGTAAAATGGTTCACATCTCGACAATGCTGACAGTAAAATGGTCCACATCTCGACAATGCTGACAATTTAGTAGAGGAGCTCTCGACTCAACACTGCTGACAGCCTAGTAAAGAAGTTCACAACCCAACAATGCTAACAGTTAGTGATGTCGGTCACAACTCTAAACAAACAGGAACTATTCTCTTTAAAATCTACTCTTCAGTAGTGACCAATCCTATCCTCTTTTTCTCCCCCCCCCCCCGTTGGCTGCACTTTTAGGTACAGGGCATTTTTGACGTGCTCATAGCAGTCATTCGTCGGGTGTCCGTCAAGGCCACATGCAGCCCTGAAAAGCGTTTATCTTGTCCATGCGAATGATAACAAATGTTATCAATGAATCACTGATAGTGATTCACTTTGAGCCAAAGAAAACGACAGGCAGATTTGGTTAAAAAGTATGTTATAAGTACGGGCGTAGAGCGAGGGTGCCGTCTCCGCCCAGAGCGGCACTTCTATTGCGGCACATTTTGTGTACATTTCATAACATCGTATACTTCATACAGGTAATTTTGTGTGTATGCTGCACGTAGTTTTCGTCAAATAAAGTAAATGGCGCCCCGGTTGTGAAACATTACAGCTACTCCATTGAGTATCCCGTATATATATTTTGCTGGTGGTGTGGCTGCTTCGTTTTCACAACCGGCCCTTCCCCAATTCAACATGTTTTATAATAGTACTGAGTGGAAAAAAAGAAGCTGTCAAGCAGCCAGCGTCATGCGTGACGGTTGATCTCAGGTAAGAAGATTAAATATTTTTTCGGAGGCGACTATTACATTAATCCACCAAAAGCTCCGGGTATGATATAGGACTCTCTGTAGGACTCTCTGTAGGACAGTCTGTAGGCCTATTATTTAAAGGTTGACAGCCAGGGTGTAGGACCACTGGCGTAGCTAGGGTTAGCATCACCCAGTGCTGTAAACTCATGGTGTCACGCACCACCAACACCCCCCCCCCCCCCCCCCCCCTCCCCCGGGGGATTTCTTCTTGTTAAATAAGTCCCCTGTATNCCCCCCCCCCTCTCCGTCTTCCACGATGGATTTCTTCTTGTTAAATAAGTCCACTGTATAACAAAAACAAATTAATTGAAGGTCTGGAGTAAATGTATTTAAGAATTAAAATGTACTTAGAGTCGCCCGTTGGTATCAACAAAATGCTTTATTTCTCAGAATTTATTTATCCATTACTTCCTGTAACTTACGAAAGTTGCCGGACACTTCAATCGGCGTTGAATCATGGTGGAAACGGGGCTTTTGTGGCCTAAGTATAAGGTCACCTCATTTCTAAAGCATCAACCTTGAAATTTTAATAAAGCATCCATTTGGATTGGTTTCATGTGTGGAAAAATTGACGTTTGATCGGTTATCCTTTTATGACCGAGCAGTGTGTGCTCTATTAGACTGAGCAGTGTGTGCTCTGTTAGACCGAACAGTGTGTGCTCTGTAAATATGCAATTGTTCAATTTTTGTGTCACCCTCTGAGATGGTGTCACCCGGTGCGGGCAACACCCAATGTTCCCTTTAAGCTGCGCGGCCGCGCACCTATCTCAAAGACGCCGCGCAGCAGTTTTGAGTACGGCGCAGCAAATTTCCATGTAAGTGTATGTTTGTGTTTGTGGGCTGTAAAATTTTGCACAAAAAAAATTGATGCTGTAAAATTTTGCACACGAACCAACAAACCTTTTAGGGAACATTGGCAACACCCCCTAGCTACGCCACTGTGTGAAGCTGTCTGTAGGCTTATTGTTTAAAGGCTGGCAGTAGGATGTAGGACTTCTTTAGGACTATTGTAAGGCTGGCAGTATGATGTAGGACTTCTTTAGGACTATTGTTTAAATGGCGGCATATATTATAGAAAATGAGAAGTTACCTTTGTTTAGGTAACACTTAAACCTCCCAGGTATTTTCTCAAGATGCGTCCCAAAACGTTGCCTTAAACTCATATAAATTATAAACAGTGATATCCAAGAAATACTGCATACATCTGGTGACCTCATGTCAGAGTAAGTGTTCGTACGTTTCGACTGTTTTCTTGTCTTTACCATGTGCCATTCGAGGATTGGTCTCACCGGCCACACCAAGAGCTGCAAGCATTAAAGATAATCTATCGTCTCCCGCAGACGGAAAGATGCCATACATACATACCATGTGATATCATCTGACCATCGGGTGTTTGTTGTCAGCGATGTCTATACAATTAATTTTCAGGCTTCCCAGCAGAGATTCAAGAATTTACTTTGATTTTGAGGAAATTACGAAGATCTCGTGGTTGTTATAATTTTTAACAAGTCATTCCATAGGACCCCTTTTTGAATATCCGCCACTGAAACACATGGAATGGTGTCCCACTCAAACTACATTTTAGTTTGTATACGATATATGCACCAATCAAACACATAATATGGTGCTTCAATGAAAAAAATATATAAATTTCATTCAATGGTACCCCCTTCTTTGAATATCCGCCTCTGGCTTTCGTGATATGCTTTCTCGGTGTAATATCGCAAACAGGTCTTCTTTGGTCCAGTTTGACATTCATTAAAATTTGTGTTTCTATTAAAGGACTTCAAAATAGTTCCGTCGACATAAATGTGGTTTTCTTTGACTGTAAAACTCGGAGTCTGTACTATAAATATTTATCGCGTCACATTCGCGAGAGAATCTTAAAAGTCTGCAGTCATCCGGTGGTGTTTAACTGTAACCGTGCTATAAATAGACGAGATGTTTGTGTCCAACTAGAAATAAACAAGGCATAGTCCGCAACGGGAACATCCGGGAACCCAACACAACGTAGGTTCAGTTGACTGAGGTACAGAAGCATGAGGGGGTAGGTTCTTTTTCTGCTGATGAAATTATGAAATGTTTATTTTGCCATCGTCCTTCCTCGGTTCATCGCTATTACAGCACACCGTTATCAGCGTTATAAAGCGTTGCATGTGTGTGAATGTCTTGTTTGCTGATAGTCACTAACATTCTGGTTACTCACTTGTGTCACGTGGGCTGACATACAGTATATATGACAAGGAACCCTATTTGGACGAACGCTAAGCACACACACAATACACACAACAAACAAGTCTCTGTCTCTCTCTCCCTCCCTCCCTCTCTCTCTGTCTCTCTCTCCCTCCCTCACCCTCTCTCTCTGTCTCTCTCCCTCTCTCGCTCCCCCTCTCTCTGTCTCTCTCTCTCCCTCTCTCTCTCTCTGTGTCTCTCTCTCTTACACATGCACTTTCTAAAATTTCATTTTAAATTGCAAGAGGATCATAACGGGGAAAATCTGCTCCCGTGGCGAGCCTCAATATGGCGCCCCTCCCTGTTTCTTTAATAAATGATGCATAATATAGGCATTAAATATGATATACGACTTTTACGCTTCGGCGCCCCATGATACTGGCTCCCGGGGTGGCCACCCTTTTGCCCCACCCCCTTTATTATAGGCCAACATTGTTTGTGTGTAAGTAGCACGAACGAAGGAAGAGGGGTTGGAGCGGGAGGGGGGGGATCACTTATTAGGGGCGGCATTTTTTTGGGCCCATTTCATATACTTTATACAGCTGTTTGTTATGTGAATTCTGTAGGCTTTGTAGTTTTCGTTAATTAGTAGGGGCGGCAAAGTCAAGGACCGCCTAGGGCAGTGCTGTCCATTTTTTTTTTTTTACTCCATTGGCCAAAAAAATTATTTTTCACGAAGCCCAATGCCAACATATGTCAAGCGCAATTTAAAAAAAATAAATATTTTTATTAAATTATTAAAACTTCTTAGCTTATGCATAAAGCATCTAATATACAATAGCATCATCGGCCTATCATGAATATAAATAAAGCGAATAAAACTGTAGCGCTTCTTAAATGAGATATTTTACTTTGAATTGTACTTGCAATTTTCTTAATGTGAGGTAGTTATAGGACACGCCCTCATTAGATTTTCTAAATGTTCACCAGTCAAAGCGTTATGCCCCCCCCCTCTTATGTTGTCATTGTATATAATCTTGACATAGTTGCTTCCAAAGACTGGTCAAATTTTGTTTCAACATTTCCATAGTTATGGAAATTCATCAGAAGAAACATGACGTCATCCAGAATTCATTTGGCCACGCGATCTTACGTTAATGTGTAAAATTTAAAAATACTTTTCAAGAATCTTTCTTACTGCGCCTCAGAATTCCCATCTCCAAGAGTTGCACTAACTACAAACAGACACAGCATGAATCCTGCTTTTTACTCATTGACCCTATAATACTCAGATTTAACTGAATACCAAGTACTTGCCCCCACTGAGCTTATCACACTGACATGGGCACACGCAGAAAACTTTCTCGGGGGGGGGGGGGGGCAAAAAAAATCGATTAACTTTCCAGGGGGGGGGGCGCACAATTTTTTTAGTAATGTTTTAATATAGTTTTAATTTACTGTAGCTTATGTGTATGGTGAACGAACGGACAGGACATCAGCTTAGTTACTTTCTCTTTATTTTTTCTTTACTTTAATAATTTTTTTTGTCTATTTTTTTTTATCCAATCAATCCAGGGGGGGGGGGGCAAGTGCCCCCCCCCCCTTCCCCCATTTTTTTTTTTTTTTTTTTTATTTTTTTTTTTTTCTTTTTTTTTTTTTCCCATCCAGCCGGGGGGGGGGGGGCAAGTGCCCCCCCCCCCTTGCCCCTACCTGCGGGCGCCCATGCACACTGAGTATAATGTAGGCTACTTGTCCCCGGCGTAAAACCAATTTAGGATGGACGCACACTCTCCCATCAGAAATGACACATTTAGTACCCCAGCTCCCATCTTGAAAATAGCGTGACGTACTTTATGGACGTCGCCTATGCCTATGTTAATGTGCTTCACATAAATTACTGTTTCCTGTCAAGCCATCCCGCTCCTTATTTTTAAAGACATCCACACTCCATCTTTCCCATGTTACAACTTCGTACGTGTTCTCATGATATTTCCCAACAATATTTATTGTTGGGAAATATTTTTTTGTACGCATACAAACCTCTCAAGCTCGGGAGGGCCAATTACAGTGCCGCGCAGATTGCGTGATAGGCGGCACTGAAACCATAGCCATAGTTAATCCACTGAGTAGTATTATAACTTGCACGGTTTTGGAGCCCCGATTGCATTATCCTAAGCTTCGTTAATATTTATATCAGGATTTTTTTATATCAGAACCAAAGACCTAGAACGATTGTTTAGCTCAGAGATAATGATAATGTATTTATGAGTTTCTGGTTTGAACCGTAAGGAGAGTTCCCACATTTATAAAGCATGAACTTTTGATGTCTTTACCCAAAACAAACAAAGGGAGGATAACTCGCAAATGCCCGTTAATTGATAAAATACACAGGAGAGATAATAGGCCTTTAACTTTATGATAATATTTTCCCCACAGTCCAGACCTACACAGTGTCGAGAATATTATCTGTAAATGTTTTTTCTTTTGTTTGAAAAATGTGCTATGATTTATTTTAATGGAATATGCAGGTATGACAATAGAATAGATCTACTAGTACTACTGACTACTGACTACTGCTACATAACTACTGCTATTCACTATTCAGTTTTCAGTCAGTATTCAGTCTATTCCCAAGTCCCAAGTCAAGTAAAAGTCCTGGGTTACGATTGCGGGCTAATCAAATTGGACTTAAAAGTTAGTACTTTACTGACTATTTCTCAGTCTTTAACTACTCAAATTGGACTTATAAGTTAGTACTTTACTAACTATATCTCAGTCTTTAACTTTAACTACTCAAGGCTACTACTACTAGACTAAAGGCAAGGAAACCTAGCTCAGACAGTGACAGTGTACTACAAACAGTAAACAGGTGACTTAGTGTAGCTTATATTTATATATTTTATTCATAAGTTGACATAAGTCATAAGGAATGTGGTCAGCGGCCTGAGCTGATGTTCTTATCTTCTTAGGCCCGCCCCCCCCCCCCTTTCATAACTTCTCCCTAGCTAAAAGGGGAGCTCTTCACCCTTATTTTTATTATAAGTACTTCGGTGTCACCATTAATAATAAGCTAGTATTGCATGAGCGCGGCCAAATGCTGTTTAAGAAATTCAACCAAAACTGTTCTACCTCAGGGGCCGTCCATAAAGTATGTCATGCTCCAGAGGGGGGAGGGGGTATAAGAAAGTGTGACAGTTTGTGACCGGGGGNAACCAAAACTGTTCTACCTCAGGGGCCGTCCATAAAGTATGTCATGCTCCAGAGGGGGGAGGGGGTATAAGAAAGTGTGACAGTTTGTGACCGGGGGGGGGGGGAAGGGGGGGTCAGGCCATGTTTGACGTCACATATTTATTTTTTAAAATTTTATTTCTAATTTATTTGGTTTTTTTAAAGTAGAATTTAATAGCTTTAAAAATCATTTTCAAAAATTTTGTGAAACATTTGAATTAGTTTTATGTCAAAATAGCATGAAATGCGTATCTTCTGAATGTGTTGTTCACGATTCCTCTCGCTAGGACTAGGAGCGCTAGTATGCTGTTACGAAGCCTTGTTTTATCTATAGCCTTGCCGAGATCAACAGGAGTTTTCAAAGTACAACCATATGATCTTTACTGTCCATCTTTCCAGACCAGCTTACTTGATCGAATTTGCAAACTATGACACTTATACTTTGCTTCACAAACAATGTCGAAGAAACATGCAGGACAACACAGAGCTCGGGCTCGGGAGAATGTGCCAACCCAAACTTTTCCAGAATCAACTCAGATAAAATGCATCCGTCCTTTGAGAATCGCTGCTAGAAGGCAAAGAGAACTCATGGCAGCTATTGCCAGAAGAGAAAATGCACATTCAGAGGGTGTTGAGTGGCTAGATGAGGATGAAGTTGATCTGTCTGCAATTATCCTTCCAGGAAACGATGATGGTGAAAGATTGATGCCAGTCATAACTATGGATGAGCACTTCACTTCACCAAGAATGGATGATGTCCAGTGAATATTTTTAAATTAAACATAATTCACAGGCCCATAATAAACAGATTCAATATAGAACAAGAGTTTTTGTCAAGCTAGTCTTTTTTTAGTCAAATTGTTTTGTTTCCTTTATATTATTTAATCACTGGGTGAGGTCAAGTTTCGCTAATCTACTTCTTATCCTGTGTAAAAAATATTTCATAATCGGAAATTATCTAAAACTTGACCTCACCTTTTGTAAATGAAAAAGCAGCAGCTAAATGAAGTGTTTTATATAATTGTCTAGTCTAATTTTTGCAATTTTTGTTTTCAAATTCAATCCAGATTGAGTTACTGCTTCAATGAATAACTGTGACAACTGTTGACTATTAAAGTCATTTTAATACTGTGATAGCTCTTTTTAGATGAAATTTTATATTTTAATACAGTTTAATATTGAAGTGTGTTTTAGATTAAATTTTAATTAGGTGCTAATTAAAAAAAATTTTTGTTTGAAAGTGTGACATACTTTGGGGGGCGGGGGGGGGGGGAGGGGGTCGAGATTTGTGACAAGGGGGAGGGGGGGTAAAAATGGTCTAAAATAGCGTGACGTACTTTATGGACAGCCCCTCAAAAAACTGTACAATTTTGGCTTAAACAAGCAAGTCATTAACTTATTCTACAGTGCAACAATTGAAAGCCTACTTAATTTCAGTATTACCTGCGGGTGTTGGAATTCAACTTTTGATATTAAACACTGCATAAACCAACTAATCAAGAAATCTAGGAACATAACACAAACTAAACATTCTTCATTTGAAGAACTATTCGAAGAAAGATGTTTTTGTCAAACTAAACACATTTTGGATGATGCATCCCACCCTCTTCATCATAGATACTTAGGATCGGGCCGTTCGGGACAAATTCTTTCCATGAGGGCAAGGACTGAAAGATATAAAAATTTATTTGTTCCCCAATCTGTACGAATTTACCAGCGGGCTCTCTCTGAAGTCGCACATCTTAATGAGGCCTAATAAGTCCCCAATTTGGCTAAGAGAACTCACTGAATGGCTGTTTGAAATAATTTATTATTAATGTCTTGTGTTCAAATTGTTTTATTTATGAGCTGATAATGTATAGTGCAATCATAAAACATTTCCATTTGTTTGGATCAATAAAAGATCTTATCTTATCTTATCTTAGAGACTGACCGAAAGGGATTTTCTGATTTCGGTCAAAACTGAAACTAGGCCGAAATTTAAAATGACTTTCAGCCGAAAACGAAATTAAAACGAAAGTTAACATTTTAGTTTTGTCCGAAGCCGAAATTAAACCGAAATGTAACTTTTTGGTGTTGGCCGAAGCCGAAACTGAAATATTTAGGTATTTTGAAATTCATCCACGCATACATTCTACATACATCAAAAAAATGATGGGGGGAAAGTATCAATATTTACATTCTATTTTTAAAAATATGAGATAATCGTGAATATCAATAAATAAACATTTAAATGAATACTTTGGCTTTTACTATTTTAATTTAAAAGTAATTTAAATTTCTTCAAAATGTTTTTTTAAGTAGTACGATAAGAGAAAATTTTGACGGGGGTGGGGGGGGGCAAAATTCATGCAAAATAGACCATTGAGTGCCCTTTTCTTTTATAAAAAATTACAATCTAGAACATATACCTATAATAATTATTGTGGCTCTAATAAAGCCAATTGTCACCTAAATATAAGTTATTAAGGCTATAGAAATATCACCACATTGTTTCACAGTTTTCGTCATACTAATGCTTTGTGTTTTCTTAAATAGCTGGCAAAATATCCTTGTAATAATATTTAGCCAAGTACCAACACATTAGTCTTACTGTGCTGGTGATGTAATAATGTTGTTCGGTGACCAACTTCCCTCGCCTCCCTTGGTGGGGGATATTTTTTTTTTTTAACGGGGTCTCTTAAAATAGTTCTGACGGGTCTCGATGGAGAATCACAAGACATCTAACTTGGTCTCCTAAATCATAAAAGTACACAGGTCTGCCTTGGGCCTACCACATAATTATAATACAAGGCAGTGACACATGCACCCACTTTTTATTTCATCAATAACAATGTTTGTGAGCATGATAATGATGAATTTCAAGAAATGAATGAATTGAAAAAGCCTAGGTTTCCTTAAAAATAAAATTAAAAAAAATAGAGAAATATTACCATACCAATTAAAATATAAGTTTTTAGAAATAAAGGACAAGTAGGTCATCATGCAGCTTTGAGCAGTTTTAGCAGAGTATTAGTAATATAACATACTATAATAGCTAGACGTCCAGTAATAAAGAATATTGGATTGCCAACCTAGAGACAGACAGGCAGTCTGACCTCTGGTAGTTGACTAAAAACCCCAGTCACTTTTCGGCCACCTGGCCAAAAGTCCCAATCACTTTCGGCTAAAACCGAAATTAAACCGAAAGTTAACATTTCAGTTTCGGCCGAAGACAAAATTAAACAGAAATTAACCTTTTTGTTTTCAGCTGAAACCCAATCTAGGCCAAAAGTGATCAAATGGCCACTTTCGGCGCCGAAGCCAAAGCCGAAATTCAGTCGTTCTCTATTGGGTACTTCAGGCCCCTTTGTTTAACACGAAACTAGCTAGTGACAGCGTCAAAAGGGCTGCCTAGGAGACCCACCCTCTACGGGGGTTGCAAATTTCGTCTTTAATAAAACCTCTGTTATCTACAATCCTATAGCGACAGCTGTAATCTTGTGCCTCCTAAACCTTAGCTCCAAAATTCTTGGCCCACACGTCTTGCCACATTATCTTCTTTGGGAGGTAGATTTAGGCAGGTTTTCTAGGTTGACTTGCCAACTCCAAGTACCCGTTCCACCTCAGCTGCAGACTGCCATGATGGACAGTCTGCAACTAGAGTAGGGTGGGAGCTTATCTATTAAATTATTTTAAGAATTAAATTACTCTCCCAAAGTAAGAAGCCAAAAGTAAGTGAGACTTTTAAGTCAGAATTTTGATTTAATCATCAAACACTACGTTACAAAAAAAGTTGTCATCAACAGGATTCAGGAGAGAGATGTAGGCCTACAAATATACATATTTTATTTTTATAACTTATTTTTATAAATTATTATATGTCATAAGACTATAATAAGTAATAGCATTTAATGTATAATGAATAGTTTAAGTCTTAGTTTTGTGTATAAAAAAATCATCTAGGGATTATTGAGTTTGATCCTATATCAGTGACAACAATAAGTTTGAACATGAAGACTTAGAAGAGACACATAACTATAGTTGGTAAGTCATATATATATATTATTAAACATTTCAATGATATAGTAAACGTAAATGACACAATATGATTGATGTATAATTTTACACTGACCTAAATCTATATGTGAAATAAATGTCTCGTCTATTATTAGGCCTAAACCTAAAACATCATAGTCGTAATACCCCTTTGGGCCTAACATTGCTAAACAATCAAATATTATTGATTCTTAATGTATTTTGGTCTTTTCATTGTGATTAATAATATGTATTATTACTGAGACTCAGTGAAGCTTATCTATTTCATTCTTAAGGAATGTCATCAGCAGCCTGATATTGATGTAACTGATTCTGGTTCTGGTTCTGTTAGGGAAGGTTGCTGAATCCATGTACTGGCATATGTGTAAGGGTTGGGGAAGCGATGCGGCTATCCTGACGGCTCTTAGCGGATGCCAGGCCAGCCTTGAAGCTCTCAATTAATGTTGAGTCCAAGGCCGCATTGTCATGGTGGTTCCAAGCGATTATTGTGCATGGGAACAATCTTTGTTTATATTGGACTGTGTTACACAGAGGCACAGTGAAGCATTTACTATTTTTCCGAATGTAATTGCTTATGGGGTTGTATATGTGAAGTCAGTGTTTAGTGAGTGCTTGGCTCTGATTAAGCAACCTGTATGGTTTTAAAAAATATGAAAAGCAAGACTGTTTATTATGATTTAATTTACCGTAAATTTCAGACTAACAACAGATAACCAAGTCCATTCAGAGATTAGCAAGATCAACATGGCCTCTTTCTGGCAACAGCTGAAAGCTTTGTTGTTGCGTAACATCTTGCTAAAAAAGAGAAACAAAGGCCAGCTTTTTCAAGTTAGTAAATTTTACTTGTATAGGCAATGGCATAACATTTTTTGCATTGCAATTCAGCAGCCATGTGCCAGATTTTTATTTACCTGACCTAAAATTTAGGCATCTCTAAGTTAAGCGATATTTTAATCATTTACAGTTAGTCATTACTTATACATTTTCTTATATAAAGAAATGAAAATCGGAGCACATCAGGCCTTCGCTTTGAAATATTTACTTAAAACTCATTGGAGTCTTTATTTAAATGGCCCACATGTGTGTGGATTCTTATGGACCACTAAATTTTCATTCTTTCCCTTGCAGGAGCTATTTTTCCCCATCTACTTTGTGGCCATTCTTGCTATGGTGAAAGAGATAACCAAGCCAGAAAACAAGCCTGCCATGAAATTTCCAGCCAATGATATCAAAAATTTCAATTATGACCTATATGGAGGAAGTGTTTATGTGGCTCCAAATACTAATCAGGTAGATCAAAAGAATGTCAGGTTGTTCCAACTCTACAGTGGTTGATATATATATAAATTAAACAAAAAATATATTTTTGAGACATGACCTCTATCTCTTTAAGTTCTAAACATTTTTAAATTGCATGTATGCCTTAAAAATTAATATTAAATTAAAGAGGACATGCCAATTATTTCAACCTGTGTTGAAACTTATTTTAATGAGTAATATTGACATTACATAATTTTTGTAGGAAATTAATTCCTGCTCATAATTTTGGTGGTGTTTTATTATAATTTTAAAATTTAATATAAATTTTTCACTAAGATAAATTGAATTTCATGTTTTTCATTAAAAAATATGCTTAGACTCAGCAGTTGATGGAAGATGTTGTAAGGCAGTTAAGTTCATATGGTATTAGCTACACAATGTTCCCAACACAAGAGGAAGCTGAAGCACAATACAAGCAAAACAGCTCAGGGATTGCAGCTGGAGTAATTTTCAACTATATGGGGGATCCTAATGCTTACGCAATTCGTGTGGGTTATCATCTAGTTCCTGGGACCAAGACTTTTTTCAGCTATGATGGCGGTACTTGAATGTTTTTCTTAAACACTATTTATGATTATTTCATTCACAGTGTTGTTTTTTATAGTCTTTTAATATTATTTCTAAGCATTAACCTGAACAGGTAATCTGTTGCTTGAAAGCTTTTAGGTCCTGGCATTCCTGTGATCTTAAAAATTGTTATCTTTTTTTGGTAATTATTGATCGTTGTCTAATTTAACCAGGTTCTTGTCGTGGTGATAAGTCGGGAAAAGACTTTGGACAGACGTGTGCTGTTAATTCATATTTATATACAGCTTTTGCAACTCTACAAATAGCAATCGATAATGCATTAATGAAGGTATGTCATTTTTAATGTGTTGTTAGCAAGTCCTGGACAACAAAGGCATTAAGTTTTCAACATGAAGTTACCAAATCATCTTGGGGATTTATTTGAAAGAGGCCATGAAACTTCTGTAATAATTCCTGGTAAGACAAAGCAATGCTCAACAAAACATCATACCCCTCAGTATATGGAGCTTTGAAAAGCCAGCATTCCCCCTGCATTGGAAGTAAACACAGAAATGATTGTTTTATCCATAAGGAAGTTACAACAGAATATTTGAGCCACTTTCTAGTTTGTCTCCTAGTGTATTTTAAATAATTTGTAAGAGTGTAAAAAATTATGGAAATAATACCAATAATTAATAATATAGGTTTAAAAAAATGTAATTCCAAAATGACTATATTCTTTTTTTGGGGGACCATAATTTTTTTTTGAATTCTCAAATTTCTACACCAACTAAGCCTGTTAGAAAGTAGAAAAAGGAGAGAAAAAATTCATATCATTGTTATTACTGACTATGGTATTTTTGTTACGTATGTGTCTTCTTATTGTTCAGAAGCCTTGAATAATTTATATTCACAAAGTCAACTTTTTCTTATAATCCCAGGACTTAGGAGTTCCAACTGTGGATCTGGACTCAAGACAAATAGATGTTAAACTGATGGACAAACCAAACTTTTCCCCTGATACTAATTACATCCAGACCCTGTCATCCATTTATTTTGTCTTCTCATTTTCTGTTTTGGCCAACTACCTGGCTGTGAATATAGTGGCGGAGAAAGAAAAGAAAATTAAAGAAGGCATGCTAATGATGGGACTTCGGAGCTCTGTATTCTGGTAGGACTTTTTAAAGTTTTTATTTTTGTGTTGTAGAAAAAAGAAATTGCTGGCCTAAAAGAGTTGTAAGATGTATCATGTATCTTACACATGATTAAATATCATCTGTATTACGTATCTTGCACATCATTAAATGTCAGCTGGAGAAGCTTTGATTCTGCATGTTTATTGTAATATAAATATTTTCACGTCCCAACTGAATAAATCTTGTTTTGATGTGTGTGATGGGACTGAAGTAAAAGGAAACGCATAGAAATGAGAAGTCGGCTGACATTTTCAGTCTTAGTTTTCTATAATTTTATGATTCTGTTTGTTGGTCTGCAGGCTGTCCTGGACACTCATCTACATGGCAATGGTTGTTGTAGCCTCTGGCATGATGATCTTAATCATTAACTTCAGCAGCTTTTTCAAGCAGAGCAACTTGTTCCTGCTCTACCTCATTTTTATATTCTATGGCTGCTCTTTCATCGCCTTTGCCTTCATGATCACGCCATTCTTCAACAAGGCAAAAGTGGCAGGGGCCGTCGCAGGCTTCTCCACGGTTATTATTAGCTGTATCCACCTCGGTGTAAGCCAAACCCGAGATGCAGGAAGCTATGATGCTAACGTACCTCCAGGGGTTCAATGGCTAATGTGTTTATTCTCTCCCATTGCCTTGTCAACAATCATAGACCAGGTAATTCAGTTTTTTTTATTTGCATTGAGACATCATTAGATTTTAAAAAGTTACATTTGGGTACCTTATGCATCTGGTGTTGCGAAACTATTTTAATTAATGGCTGTAAAGAAATACTAATGACTATGTAAAGAGATATTTTACACTAATGACCATGTAAAGAAAATATTTGTTTTCCATCCCTCAATGCTACCTTTCTTAATATTGATGTAATGAAATGTGGTTCTAGAATGCTCATACTGGGCAGTTTGCTTGGTAAGGGAATTATCATATACACTAATTCATACCCCATTTATTCATAAGCAGCTGCCTTAGTTTCAGCCAGAAAAAGCCTGAAAAGGGTAATTCGCAGAAAAGTGACAGCAAAAAAATAATATTCCAGAAGAAGCAATATAGTACTAAAACAAATAAATAATTTTTTATAAAAATAAAAACTTGGAAGAATAATTAATGTGTAAGTAAAAAAGACTTAAAAACAAATAAACATACAGTGTTATGTATAACACAGCTACTTGCTTCTTACGTAAACCATTAAATAAGATAACCACACTGAATATCTCCAAAAGTAGAACCTCAACCATCTACAATAACAATTTTATCATTAAATGTCGGTAATTTGATACTCTCTATGCACACTCAGTAATGGCAGTCGCTAAAGCAGGACAATACATCTGACCCTATTTTGCACAAGGTTTCATGGTGACTTCTTTTAATTACTTTTTTCTTCATTGTTCTCTGTAACAGAGTCAATGTACCTGGAGAAAATCATAAAAAATTCCTATGATCCCCTCATAAGCTAACCACCCCACTTATTCCCCTGAAATATCTCCCCAAAAAGTCAGCTTAGAAATGAGTATATACAAAACATATAATTTTGTTACTTCCAGGGAATTTTTCTTGATGTTCATTATCACGGATTTAGTTTTGATGACAGCCTTACATTTGGCAAGTTTCCACTCTATGCTCCAATCTTGATGCTTGTGGTGGACACCCTCCTCTATGCTATATTAACTGTATATTTTGACCATGTCATACCAGGTATGTGATGTTTCTTTAAATAGATCTGATTATGTAAATTGTTCAGTTGATTTAATGAATACTAATATAATATTGTTAAAGAATTTTTTTTTTTCTTTTCATCAAGCATTCTTACCCAATAATAACCACTGCACATACTTGCATTAATTTCTTTTTTTAAAACAGAGATAACCAGATTCTTAAATTGTTTAAGTAAAATTTAAATTTGAAGGCTTTAATGAGAGTACAGTAGAACCCGATTATGTTGACAGCCTAGGGATTTGCCAAAAAGCGTTGAGATAACCGATGATCAAGAGAAACGAAAACCAATATGGCGGCACTATAGTAAAATTTGCTTGAAATTTCTTTAATTTACGTTGATGTGCGTTCATAAATGAGAATGAGTCTAATACTAATACACTAAATAAAGCCTAAATTTTAGGCTATGCCTATTTTAATAATTTAAGTCAATTATAATAGGCTTTAGGGCCTAGACTAGGTCTAGGCAACTTTATACTAGATTTAGACTGACTGATTAGAATGTATCCATTATAAGATTAGAATATTAATATTATAAATACTTTGTGTGTGATGTCCTCATTTTAGTCTTAGTTTTAGGGCAGCTTGCTTAGGCCCATACTTAGTAGAACTACTTTCTATAAAATGTACATGATATTAAAAAAAAATAGGTCTATAATATTAGATACTCCACATAGGGCCTGCGTGCCCAGATAGATTTTACGGATGCGGAAAACAGACCATAAACCTGTGACTGGTCAATGCCGGTAGGTTATGGGGTCATTTGGAGATCTATTTTCCTTTGTCTCATAAGGAAGTGACAATGAACTTATTAAAGTCTGTTTTGTGCCCAAGAGGAAGACGATCATTACAACATAAACATAGGGATTCTTTCACTCCTGTACTTTGAGAAAGAAATAATTATTTTTAATTAAGCAAAACTTGCTTATTTGTTGTTTGCTATTTCTTCTTGTGGAGTTCAAAAGCCGGTGATCGGTTGGGGGATCAAGATAACTAATGTTAAGTGGCAAATTTGGCCGCCTTTTGTGCTCGCGATATCAGGGTTCGACGACATAAAAGGATCGACATAACCGAGGAGAAAATGCTAAGACAAAGAGAGAATTTGGTGGTTTCAATTAAAAAATGTCGACATAACAGGGTTGGCGAGTTAACCGAGGTTGAGATAAGCGGGTTCGATTACAAGTAGATTACAAGCCTGATTTGAACAATCAATTGAACTGTAATCTATTTTCTGACAGGTGAATATGGAGTTCGTTATCCACCTTACTACTTCCTTCAGTACTCTTACTGGTGTCCTCCGAAGCATACAGGAGAAATGACAAAGTTAGTCAGTCCTAGAAGAAGCATTTCCCAAACGGCAGATGTAGAGCCTGTGCCGAGAGAGATGGAAGATAAAGTTTCCATGAGGTATGTAAGAATCTCTTATCCTTGTCATTTTTATTAATTTTTTAAAAATTTATTGTTTTACACCTTCTATTTTCATCTAAGATTTAGCTCTATAGATAATTATAAATTGATGCAGTATTGCAAATAAAAATTAACAATTTGGAAAGCATTTCTTTTTAAATTTTTCAGAATTTCTTGGTTAACAAAATCTTTTAAACAGGACAAAAAAGTTGTCAATGCTGTTGATGGTAAGTTTTTTAAAATGTATTGTTTTAATATGGTGGGAAATTGTAATCTTACTCACAACCATGGGCAGGAGAAAGGTGTGTTGCCTTAGCTTGACTCAGTTGCTGAGATTTAAATTATTCCCTTTTTGTATATAAGAGATTTAAAGGCTGTCTCTTTTTTATTTTTATTTTTAGGTTTCTGCTTGGATATTTATGAGAGCCAAATCACATGTCTCCTGGGACACAATGGAGCAGGAAAAACTACTCTCATAAACATGTTGACTGGAGTTGTTCCCCCTACATCAGGATATGCTAAGATTTTGGGCATGGTAAATAACGAATACAATATCTTATTTTAAAAAATGAAATCCATTGCAACTACATGTCCAATTTTCTCATAAAGAACATTTAAAGCTCTTAATTAATGGCCAAAAGGAAATATTTGTTGGTTTCATCACACATGAACCAGTTTTTTTTCTTATGTTTCTTGACTACAATCTCTTTTTTATTTATTTCAACAGGACATTACCAACTCAAGAGATTTAGAGAATATTCGGAAAGTCTGTGGCATTTGTCCCCAGCATAACATTCTGTATGAGAACTTGTCTTGTGTGGAGCACCTTGAGATGTTTGCCAATATAAAAGGTGTTCCGGAGGATCAGGTTGCACAAAAGGTTAGTATCTAACCTAACGCTAATGTTGATTTAATCAAACTAAACTTAACAAATATTGCAACAATTGCTGCAGAAATAATTTGAATTTATTAGAAAAAACTTTGGACATTTAATTATCAAAAATATACATTTAGATTAAGGTTGGTCATTTTACAGAAAAATACAAGCCTTAATAGCTGTAAATAGCTCAACACAATTTACTTCTAAAAATATATCAGTTCCACCAAACATTTATCCATTTAACTGTTTGAATTCATTTTTTAAACTTAACTGTAGTTGACCACTTTGATTATTTCTTATAATGGTATACTCATCTTATTTCACTACCCTGTATTCCAGTTTGTGTAAAATTATTAAATACAGCCGAAAAGCCAGGTTTTACAATATTCTTTGCGAATAGCACTAGAATTTGTTTACAGTAGGAAGTTTCTTGATTTTGTTGTAAAAAAGCCATTTTTTAACCTCTTGTGGTTAGTTTGCTGTTGAGGCTCCTCTAGTTTGAATGAATTTGTGTTTTTGTTTACTAGAATATATATTTTTATCCTTTTTCCCCCCTCATACTTTGAAAAAGAACTTCATGTGGAAATGCATTTAAACATTTTGGGGAGCCATGTCCTGACCATGTTATGTTATAATTGACATCACAGGGTTCAATGGTGTAGGACTAGGTGTTTTAAAAAGATTAAATTTCAGAGTCTTATTTAAGAAAATCTGTATTCATGATTATTTGTTAATTTTAAAAAAAAATAAGGTAAAGAATGCTTTACAAGATGTGGACCTGAAAACCCAGGCAGATACCTTTGCCAAAGATTTGAGCGGAGGCCAGAAGAGGAAGTTGTCAGTGGCAATCGCTCTCATTGGTGATCCAAAGGTTAGTTTAAAATAATAATAATAATAATAATAAAGTTTATTTGAAAAACACGCTTCATCCCCAAAAGCTCGAAGTGCGGTACAAAGTCAACCATATTAAAAAGAGAAATAAAAACAATCTAAAATTTACCACATTTAAAAACAGATGCAACGATATTAAGCTACATACTAGCATACCCAGTGAAAGTCTTTCATCCCGTTTCAACCATAAGCAACACAAGCCAATATACATTAACTGAAAAAGATGGTAGATAGCATCACCCCAGAAGGTGTTTGCGAAATAGATGTGTTTTTAAATCGGTTTTAAAGGACTCCAGTGTCTGGCTATTTCTGAGAGCAACTGGAAGTGCGTTCCAAATTGTTGGGCCGGCAAATGCAAAAGTGCGCTTTCCGTAAGTCTCAAGGCTAACACATGGTATCGATATTTTGCCACTATCGGATGAGCGGAGCTCTCTAATGGGTACATAAGGTGTCATGAGTGCTTTGAGATAAGATGGCGCCAGGTCATGTAAGCAGCGGTAGCACAAAGTTGAAATTTTGTACTCTATGCGAGCGTGGACCGGCAGCCAGTGCAGCTCCCTTAAAAGTGTTTTAGCATGGTCGAATTTGCGTTTGCGAAGAACAATGCGAGCCGCATTATTCTGTGCTCTTTGAATTTTATCCAGGAGCTATGGAAGCTGATGAGCTTAACCATCCAAAGGGAGATCGTTAGCTTGATCTTCAAATTAGATGTGATTTATTGAAGAACTCACAGCTTTTTTTACTGTAATTTTGTGCCAGTTTTTTTTTTAATCTATCAACTTAAAAAAATAACAATTGGTTCAACATTAACATTAAACAAAAATAAAAAAGTTAGGTCTATATATGCAACCAGTGAAATATCCTCTGCAACACCTGGCACAGAAAAATTGCAAATCTCCTCTTCATGTATAGGAGCCAGAATGATCAATATATTGATCGTGGGCCCTTTATATATAGAAGATGGAAAAAAAAGTTTAATCTCTCTTTTTTGTCTCCCATTGATCAGCTCATGTTTTTGGATGAGCCAACTGCTGGCATGGACCCATTCTCTCGACGACATCTTTGGAGCTTGTTAAAGAAGAGGAAAGAAGGGAGAGTTGTCCTTCTTACCACCCACTTCATGGATGAGGCTGACATTCTGGCAGGTGAGCAGGAAAATGTTGTATTTGTAACAGCCACTGTGAGCCACAGTGTAACAGATTTGATTCATGAAATTGGTCAGTAATAGTAACTTTGATTGTGTTATGCTTGTTTAAATAAGAATTATCTTACCAGGAGTTAATCATAACTAAGTTATAATATGATAACTTTCTTTTTTATGCTACACATGAGTGTAGCAAAATGAATTTCAGTTTCAGCGCTAAAAGTTGCCATGTGATCACTTTCGGCGTAGTTTCAGTTTTTGCCAAAACAGAAAAGTTAACTTTTGTGGTTTTTTTTGGTTTCTGCCAGAAGGGATTGAGGCTTTTGGTTGTCTACTAGAATTCAGGCTGTCACTCTGTCTGTTGGTCGGCAATTCCATATTCATTATTGCTTGATGTCTTGCTGACATTGTTTGATATATGCCTAATCCTCTGCCAATACTTCCCACTGCTGCATGATGACCTACTTGTCAAATGTTTCTAAACATAAAATTTCAATTAGGCTTAGGCAAAGATAAATAGTTTTCTGGAGAAAGTAATAAAATGGTAATAATTATATTTTTATTTTTGTTATAATTTTTTTCAAAAATAGAACTTGGGTTGTTTAATTAATTTATTTGTGACATTCATTTTTATTTATCATTATCATGCTCATGAATGTTGTCATGGACAAAGGTGAATTGGATTTTGGAAAAACAATCCTAGGGAATTGTAACATTTCCATTATTAAAGTCTGTTTTAAATTTAAAAAAAATTAAAATTAGGTAACATAAGGCTTATTCAATTCATTCCTTTATTGAAATTCATCATTATCATGCTGATATACATTGTCCTTGAAGAAATAATAATATTCCACAAAATAAGTCATGTGTATGAACACAAAAGTAAAGGAAGAGAATAATGAAACCCTTAGTAATATTAAAAGGTATAATTTTTTATTTCAATTTTGTATTAATAGTCATAAATAACCTTTATTTTAAATCATAAGCCTATACACATGTGTGCATATAGGACTATCACTGGTTTGTATAATGATTATGTAGTAGGTCTACTGTATTGTCATATCAAATGTACCTGAACAATTTTTCAACTTTTTAAAAATCTGGGTCAAATATAAAATTAGCTGATAAATAATAATTGCGGATAAACGGATTTTTTTTATCTCAACAAATAAAGTGTTTCAACAAAAACGTTTGTTTTATCGGAACAAAGGATTCCTTCAAGGCTTATTCCTGACATTTTAGTGGGCCATACTAATAAAAATCACTTAGGCTAAGCTTTAAATCAAAGCCAAATATGTTTAGTTAGCGTTGTAATTATATTATAACAGCAAAGGCGCCCAAACGCTTTAAATAATATTTTACAAGTCTCTTAGTGTTTTGAAAACAAACTTTTGATAACAAAACTGCAATTTAATTCTAAACAAAGAACCTAAATTATTTCTTGTCTTCTTTGCTTCAGACAGAAAAGCTTTTATTCGTAAAGGCAAGCTGAGGTGCTGTGGATCCTCTTTGTTCCTGAAGAACAAATTTGGCATAGGTTATCACTTGACGTGAGTCAGCTAATAAAAGTTTGAATTTTAGTATAGATACATTAGTTGAAAATGGAGATCATGACTGCCTGGATTAATTTTTTTTCTTATATCAAATAATTTAAAAGTTAGATTAATGCAGTAAATGATATTAAAAATCAAAATACAGAATTTTGAAATTATCAAAAAAATTACTTAGTCATCAAAAACATTTTTTTCTTTAAAACCATGCATTTTTTTAGTTTTCTTATTCAGCTGGTGACCCCACAGAAAACCATCCACCACCCATTTTGGGGTCACAAACCATGAGTTGGAAAACAGGGATAATGATAAAATGTATTAGTAAAAATAAATTAACTTAGGAGGTTTCAATTTTTTTGTATCTACCAGAAGTCTTATAAAATGGTGAATAAAGCTCTCAACTGATCCGCAATTAAAACAAATAATGTGTGGCACAGTGTCTATTATAGTTTAGTTTCTCTGGGAAATATATCTCTACAAGACTTTTCAAAGATGGCAGTAAGACAAACCTTTTTACCCATAACTTCATTTCAGCATGGTTATAACCCCTGACTGCCTCATTGAAAAAGTGACATCTTACCTACACTCCATCATACCGAGTGTCAAACATCAAAGATCTCATGGCAAAGAGTTGGCCTACACAGTTCCACTCTGTGATGTTTCCAATTTCTCAAGTATGAACAATAGTTTAATTATATCTACTGGGGAGTGTGGGGGGGGGGGGGGGGGGGTTAGGGTTAAAAAAAAAAAAAGCAGCCCCCCCCCCCCCCCTCCCCCCAGGGGGGGGGGGGGGGGGGGGGGGGGGCGGGCTTGAGACGGTAAAAAAAAAAGCCCACCCCCCCCCCCCTGCATTTCTCACATCAAACTACTATTTCATTCTTCTGTCATCATGCCCCACTTCTTTACTCACATCAACCTAAAATTGCATTCTTCTGTCACTATTCATTTTATGTTTATATTAGACAAGTTTCAGTATCAAAATTTGAAACTATGAAATTCTGAAAAGCTTAAGAGGTAAATCCACTTTCATATATTTGTATCTGTGGTGATCTGACTTGCGTTGTACTAGTGAGGGGTATCTCTCATATGAGATCTCCTCTTAGCACTCTGTCTAGGGATTCGTTAATTAAGCCAAATTACCACAAAGACATAATAACCTATCTTTATACATATAGACTGAAATGAAGTCATAGTTAAAGGGGAAAATAATTACAAGTATTTATTGAATAATGATATTTACAAATTCCTCCGTAGTACACTCTTGATGATTAATATATATATACATCAAATAGATGTCATCTAATTAGAAAGGTATATCAATGCAATGCTAGTGTCCATAACATACTGACGGTATCATCATTATTAATGCTATATTGCTCAAGGTTCTATGTTCAATCTTTGTTGACTTAGCCTTTATAGTTTCACTGAGGATCTCGGTGGATCACAAAGTGTGGGAGTTCCTTCTGTTCCAGAAGCGTGTCCCTGTTCCGGTCTTCGGAGCTGTTCCAAGCGTAGCGAAGTCGGAGTTCCCGATCGTAGATTCCGTGGGATCTCTGCGATGGGGAAGATGACTCTCCAGTGATAAATCGTGGTTGTAAGAGTCTCTGGATCTCGAGGTCCTTCTAGTAGCCGTAGGTAGTTTGGTGTAGGACGTGAATCCATCCCCTAGTTCCAGCTTCAAGGTAGTTGGTCTAGTAATAGAAACCAGGCTAAAGGCAAATGATAAAAAAAATGGATAAGTATCTAGGCGAATAGTCATAAGCTGACAAGTTCTGTTCCAACAGCAACGAATTCAGATTGATGTATGGAAGGTGACATAGCTTTTACATATACATCCTATTTGTGGAGAGATTTATAAGTCTTGTCATTGTCAGCGTAAGCATAGGTTGCTTCGTGACAATGTTGGACCAAGCAAACATTTTAATAATGACGTATGGGATATTGTAACATTAACAACCATTATATTTATAGGTACATAATATTCATATTGTCATCTTGTTAAAAGAGACATGAGCGATTTGGAACAACATGATGGGATGGCGGCGTGTCATAGCCCACGGCAAAGGCAATATTAGAATAAGATCAAACATGATCAAATACTTGCTACATAGTTATATGAACACTACATGTGGAATAACATAATATCAAAATAATGGTTGCATACTTACCAGTACTCAAGGTAGCAGTCGCAGTTAATGATCACGCTAATGAAGTCCTAAGTCTAGTTACTCCCAGCGTCCACAGTCAAGTGATCAGATCATAAAAGACATATTCTTGCTTGTTCTGGCTATTTATTCGAATTGGGTGATGATTCAATTGGGTGGTTTAAATGTTGTTTGTTTTCTCATTCGATGATAATCATTTTTGATGTTGCGGGTTTGACCTTCTATCAGTGTGAGGTGGAAAATGCATAAGGCACGCTTTTGCATGAGCTATTATGTGTAAGAATGCAATAACAACAAGGGACGTTACTCCGCTTTGCTGCCTCCAGGGCAAAACTGAGGGGAGGTAGGGTATTATTTTATCAAGGTTTATCGGTGAGAGGAGTTGAACACAAAATCCACGCTTTTGGGGTGAGCGGATTGAATTAGGAATGCAACAAGGAAAGTCACTTGGTATATGCTACTGCAAGGGCAAACCAAGGGAGGCAAGGGTATTATTTTACAAGAGTTTCCAAAGGTGGATTTACGGTGAAAGAAATTTGACAAAGTCCAGCCTCAAATCGTCACAGTATCAATAAAAGGTGTGAGCTAAAGTCACTTTTATATATTTGTATCAACTTTAGTTGATAGAAAATTATTTATTTAAAAAAAACAACAACATATATATATTGTGCTGCTTACCAGGGAGTAACTTTTATTATTGTGTATTATATTTTTGTCATGGAATTGAAATGGTTCTCACAAAAATTAAATTTTGCAAGTACACATTCTTTCTTAATAAGTAGCTGCTGTAAGTTCAGTGTTTTCTCAATTTATTGGCATGAAAGCTGTTTACAGGGATTTGATAAAAAATCTAATAGAAAACAACTGAACCAAGACAAGGAACACTAAGCTTAAAACTTTTGGGGTCATCTGTTGGAAAGGTCAATATCCTCAAACCCTAAATTGATTTTTCTATATAGAAGGGGGTAAAATCAGTAGCGTAGTATTAACGAGAGTATAAATAATAAAGAATTAAAAAATCTACTGCTCTTTCCATTTACTTAATTCTGATTATAAAACTTTAGCTCCACATCCTGACCATTCAACATTTCAGAAGCATGTTCAGGGATTTCTATCAAGGGAAATCAAATATTTCCAAGTTAAAAAAACAACCCTTGTACTACCCATGGTTAAACCATTTTACTCAACCTTTTCAGCATTGTTTGAGCAACTGGATGAAAATGCGGCTGACCTAGGCATCAAAAGCTATGGCGTTTCCATGACAACACTAGAGGAGGTCTTCTTAAATCTTGGTGAGTCACATTAAAAAAATATTAGGTGTATTTACTAGCTGGTCCCTTACCAGAAAAGCTGAGAGCCTGCTCAATACATGGGAGAGGAAAGTCCTCATGAAATATGTGGCCGTGTGATTGACAACGATGGATGGAGACTCTGTACAAACCAAGGGATATATCAATTGTTCCAAAACCCACTCTTTGTTGCAACAATAAAAAAAAGGCAGACTGCAGTTGACAGGACAGGACACCTTGAGAGTATTCATCAGATAGAAACCTAGGGGCAGGTCGACCAAGGCTGAGATGGACTGATGATGTAGACAAGGGCTTACATCAGTTGGGGGTCCACTCATGCAGGTGGAAAGCTATGAATTGAACTCAATGGAAGGATGTTGTGGACCAACAATAATTGCAATTTCAAATCATTAAAAAATAAAAATAAATTTGTATTCTCCTTCAGTTGTTTACTTATTTGCTTAGCAGATATGGTACATACAAGTGGATGTTACCAATATGAAACAAGATATGGTACATACAAGTGGATGCTACCCATATGAAACAAGGAAATGAGTGAAACAAAGTATGGAAAAACCTGAAAAAAGGAACAAAACTAACGTGTAGGCAGGAAGCCTACATCAGCGAACAAATAACCATAAAAACAGAATTAAATAAAAATAGCACTTAGCTGAAATGCATCTTGTTGCCCTCTCGGATACAATATTTAAATAAGTAATTTCAAATCTTAAATAAAAAATATATAAAGCAATTTTACTATTTAGTAACTACTAAAACTAAAGGGTTCCTATAAATATGATCAATAGGTAAAGTGAACCTAATTTTCTACATTTATTTATTTAGTTGATCTCTGATTAAGTCTAGAATGATGCAATCCTTAACTCAGGTACGTGCCAAAGTACATCCTTGCACTGAATTAATAAAACAAAATATCCTAGAGGAATTGAATAGACCTACGATTTTCCAACCCCACGCTACCATCATATATTCCTTACCTTTTTCTTTGCAAGAAATTTTAAAAAACTGTATATCAATAAATAAACATTAGTCATCTACTTTGGGAAGTGACCTTGTTTTAGACATGGGATGTGAGTAGTTATGGTGACATTGTGCTGTATGTTTATTAATTACTATTAGGATTTGGCATTGCACATTTTTGAGATGGTATATTACTACTCTGAAACAAAAATGTACTGCTATTTTGGTAACCAGGTCTGTGATACATATTTTTTTAAAATGAAAGCTAGTTGCTGTACGGTAACACTGAGCTAACAGAGACATTCTTTGTTTCAACAGAGGCAGATGAGGCTGTGGAAGCTGAAGAAGAGGAGTCTGGAGAAATCAATCACACATTTTCTGCCAATGCAGACGAGGCCAATATTGTCGACATGGACCCACAGCACCGAGTCCCAGCAGACCCATCGATGGGTAAATCTGTTGTTAGAGGTGGCAGTTTGACCAAGCAGAGATTCATGGCCCTGCTCAAGGTCAGTGCAAGTGATGGAGGTTCATCTATTTCTTATTCACACACCTTCTAATTTATGTCAATAATGTTGGCATCTGTTTGTTTCTCATTGGAACTCTCTCAAGCAAAACCTCGTACCCTGTGCAAGATGATGATTTTATTTCAGAGTCAATTGTTGCTCAAGCAAGCTCTCACTCTCCATTCCGCTGTTGGAACCAATTTTAATGAGTTCATTGTCAGACCACATTTAGAGTTCCATCTCCAGATTAATCTTCCTGTAGTCTTAAGGTGTAGCTGCAAGGTGGCAGAGGTTTATGAGCCAACATCTTATAATACGTTCCATCTATCTAAAGGGCCCTCGTTTTTGTTAATTTATTTTATTGTATCGCTAGGCTTTGTACCTTGTTAGTATCCCAGATGCAAGCATTTAAGCCACACCTAACCACACATCCACCGAGCCACAAATTAATGTGGAGGGCGTTGTTTGTTGATACTTTATTGATGATTTTTAAAGCGTAAAGTTGGAGGTATATTTAATGAGCCATAATCCTTCTTAACACTTATTACAGTAAATAATGAGCTCCAAAATGAGATAATATCCAATATTTCACAAATTTTGTTATCGACTTCTTTTTAAAAAAAAGTTTGATGAGAAATTTTCATAACTCTGAAATTTGGCAACGCTGGTAAAAAAACATTTGAATTCACAATGCCTAATATTTATCTCTTTTTCTTTTTAAAAATGAATTATATTTTGTTTTTCAGATCAGATTCCTTCTTATTATCCGTAATGTCAAGGCTGTGTTTTTCCAAATCGTGCTGCCTGTTGTTTTTGTTGTGATTGGTCTAGTGCTGGCAAAGTACCAGGCCGCATCCCCCGCTTCCTACCCAACGCCTCTAGAAATGAGCCCTGAGCTTTACGTTGCATCTCCCGCAGCCACAAACTTGTCATCACTTTTAATCTTCGATGGTGTCAGTAAGTTTTTTTTTAAAACTGTATATTTTTACATTATAGATTGTAACGTATTATATATTAAATTATATTGCCTTTAATGGACCGAGCTGTGCACCATCCAATTTGTGAAATGCTTACCCCCTCCCCCCTCCCTCTCCCTGCCATGACTTATGCTAAGAAGGTTAGATAATAGCTTCTGGGGAATCACTTCAGTAATTCGTGCCATTGTTTGCTCTTTTATTTTTTCATAAAAAGGAGATTAATTGCAAAATAAAATGAGTAAAACAGAGTAGGGTTAAACCTGAAAAAATAAACGCAACAAAACAGCGAACGTGTCGGCAGAAAGCCTTCGCCATCAGCGAACAAAACAACAGAAAAAACAGTATAAAAATAAGAAATAGCACTTAGCTGGTAAGTAGTATCTGTCAGATACTACTTACCAGCTAAGTGCGGTAAGTAACATCTGTCAGATTCTACTTACCAGCTAAGTGCTATTTCTTATTTTTATACCGTTTTTTCTGTTGTTTTGTTCGCTGACGAAGGCTTTCTGCCGACACGTTCGCTGTTTTGTTGCGTTTATTTTTTCAGGTTTAACCCTACTCTGTTTTACTCATTTTATTTTGTACTAACCTGATTGCAGTCTCTCCCCTTATTACCCCGAGATTAATTGCAGCATTCTTCATGTTTAAAATAATTATAGTTTTGGTTTCTTTTCATTTAAATATATTTATCCAGAAACAGCTGGCTCTGGTAAGATAATTGCAGACTGGAAGGAAGACTACAAGGTTGAAACCTATGCCGCAGGAACTAAAAACACCTCAGATGTGGCGCCACATTATCTTGGAATGCAAATCAACAAGCTGATGGGAGATGTGAGTGTCCAGTAAATTATCTGTTGAATAGGCTTAAATTTATCATTAACGAAACAAAATTAAGATTTATCACAAAGGCAATTTCTGGGTGTTGTGGGCCCATACAAGCCATTCTAGTAAGCAGATATTTTGGCCCAGAGTTTACTGATGTGGTAGAGTTGAGCATTATCAAATCATAGACATCTGGCTGGGGAAGGAAGGATATTATTTTTTAAAATTTCAATAATTTTTGCCTTAATATTGAGGAGCGTATTTTCAAAAGGGGTTAAGTCCAATTTATTTCTCTTAGTGGTTTGTCTAAATGCAACTTAATTTATCATAGGAAACAGATTTATCTTTTTCTACTTTATTTGCCCTAGTTACTTGTTAGTCTTCTGTATAAATGCTTAGGAATCCTATAGTAACCGTAATTCAATTTGTTTTAAAAAATATAGCTAAGCCCCTTTTGATAAAAGGTCTTCATTTTTCTTCTGCCATGACTGAACTCAATTACTAATCGTAAGCTTAAATGTCTCTACCCATCTTAATACAGAAAATTTCAATTCTTGCTACATATTATGAAGTCATTCACACATTTAAAAAAACAACAACTCAATGTTTCTTTACAACCATAATTTCCCTACTAATTTTTATCACTCAAAGTTAAAAAGTTTTATTTTTGCAATTATTTCAATTGTGACAGTTTCTTATGAAACCTTTTTTTTTCATTGTCTTAAGCTTCTTCAGAATTTTGTGATTCTCTACAATGACACAGCACTGCACAGCATCCCGGTGGCGATCAACCTGGCCACGCAGAGCATTCTAAAAAGCTCCAACCTCAGCGCCAGAGTCAGTGTCTACAGCTTCCCTTGGCCGGAGATCAGCCAAGTGATAGCATTTAACTCTGCGGCCATGACTGGTCCATTGTTGATTGGATTGGCATTTATCCTTGTCATTCCAGGATTCGCTGCCGACATAGTTCAGGATAGAGAGGTGGATTTTGATGTTTGAATACAATATTAATAATCAACAATAATGCCTAATCCTTACCCAGTCAAGCTCTGTGCACAATCACTCATTATGTTAATAATAAAAAATGCCTGCAGTTATTAAATACTTTATTGTGTCACATGTTACATTATAAATTGTGTAAATGTTCAAGGGTTTTTATTTGAGTAAGTATAAAGGTTTGCTGACCACTGCATGGTGTAATTTTATGTGGTTCTCAGTGGAAGCTAAGAGGACAGCTGCGTATCTCTGGTGTGAGGTTCAGAGAGTACTGGGGCACCATTTACCTGTCTGATATCCTCCTCTATCTGATCCCTTCAGTTTCTGTGCTCATCATAGTTCTTGCCATGCAGGTAAACGCAGCTTTTTTTTTGTAGCTGTGAATAGTTTCTACATTAACTTTTGCATGAGCAGTTTTAATGTTGTTTATTGTTACAGATAAATCCACAATAACCAATAGATTCATTCAGTTTAGGAAGGCTATTAAGAATTGAGCATGAAACATGCTTTCAGTTAAGTCAGTAATTGATCTGTCAGCTACGTATTTCCATTCATTGATCAGTTTATCTGGCCTTCATAATTTGATGCAGCAGTTTGAGACTTTTTCCCCCTCAGGTTCCTGGCCTGAGTTCTACTGGGGCCATGGGTGCACTGGTCCTGCTGTTCATCACAAATATCCCCTTCAACATCCTACTTGGCTTTGTGCTTTCCTTCATATTTGACAAGACAGAGTCATGCTTGGCCTACTTGCCTCAAATTATGAGCATCGTAAGTAAACACAGTGTTTGTCATTGTGTCCAAGCTGGGACCAACGTTGATAGTCTATTGAAGAAATAACAAAAATTAATAAAATAGATCAAAAGTTCAAAATGTAATAAACGCATGTAATTATGAATTCAAATCATGCATGTTTATTATGTTAATTAAGTCTTTTTTAAAAAGCAGATGCTTATCACAAGGGCTTATTTCTCTTGCTCAATTGCTACAAGTATATTTATTCATTTTGAACTAGTTGAAGCTCATAGGCTGAGTAGTTGAAATAACTTCAAGATTAAGATCAAATTTGCATTTATTTAAGAACATAGTTCTGAAAAGTTTTGTGACACCATACTTGAGGGAAATTTTGCCAACACCAGTAAGGGTTACCTGTATTTTTTCATACATGTAAAAAAAAAAACCCAAAAACCTGGCTCTTACTGTCATGTGTCTTTGTGAAACTTGTATTCGTATCTTGCTTTTAATGATGCGTGTGCACAGTTTTTAAAGCTTAGCCATCATGGTCTGAGGTTTTGTTTAAGCTGCTGTGCTTGTTTTCCCGGCCAGGGTTCAATGCTTCCCTACATCACCGTGTCCCTGGTGGACATGATCTCACGCAGTAATGTTGCCGTCTATTTACATTACGTCTTCTGCGTCATTGATCCACCTTATATTATCTTTGGAGGATTCTACTTCATTTCAAGAGTAGGTCAATTGTTATTTTAACCTAATATTAAGTATTTCCTGTTATAACTAGGTTTATGACAGTTTTGTTATATTGGGTGCAATCAGAGCTTTTGAATTGTTTCTCTGGAAAGAAAGAGAATGTACATTAAAATTTGTGCTCGGTTATGCTATCTGATCTAGGTATCTATTTCTTTATAAACCTAAAAAAACAACAATTTGTTAACAATGAATTTGGTTGGAGCAATAGTGCCTGGTTATTTTTTTTCTTCTTTATATAAACAACCGAATTCCTAAGGGTCAAATAAAAAGGAAAATAATAATTGGCTTTTAAATACATTATGATAATTAGCAATTCATTTCAAAATCACTCTGTACATATTTCTTACGTTTTGAAATATTTACTTCAAAAGAATTACTCGAGTTCCAGCTCTCTTTTAAGAAAGTCTTAAATGATTAAAGTTATCACAGAAACAATTAGGGATAATTATTTTGTTGACATCCAAGACTACAAGATTGATTCTTCTGCATAAAGAACTAACATTTCTTATCATCAGATCAACCTGGTTGCTGTTTTGAGTGGGTTTGAAGCTAAAACAAGTGACTACTTCAAGTTTGATAATCACATAGTCATTACTATAATAATGGTAGGTACACAATTCAATAACTGATTTAGTACTACACGTTTAATGGGGGTAATAAGGGGAGAGACTGCAATCAGGTTAGCACAATATAAAATGAGTAAAATAGAGTAGGGTTAACAAAACAACGAACGTGTCGGCAGAAAGCCTTCATCAGCAGGCGAAACAACAGAAAAAACTGTTTAAAAGTAAAAATAAGAAATAGCACTTAGCTAGGAAGTAGTGTCTGTGGGCAGCAAAAGAAATGGGACAGAAAGTAAGTGAGTGAGGGATTAAATAGGGAAGAGCGAAAGAAAAGAGGAGAAAAAAGTCCACTGCGATAGGTCAGGACGAGGAGGGGCGGAGCTAGGGTCAAACTGTGAAAAGGGACATATCATTCATCCCCGTTGGCGTCAAAGTGCCATAAGTAAGGATAAGCGTTCTTGGAATACAGGCTTATGTTATGTCCCTTTTTTGTTGCCATATTGTTGGTTAAGAACAACAATCAGAAATTATTCAGTTTTATAAGGACTTATACAGCCATATTGTCACGTCAACATTGATCTTCCTAGGAGTGAGGCCTGAATGGCTAGCAGTTGAATAGTATGGTAGTGATCAAAATTTCACCTAAATTACTGTAGTAGACAGGACTTTGACAACAATAATTAAAGATTTTATTAGACACTTTTGACTCTAAATCTCCAATTGCAATAATCTTCATGGGAAGTCTGTTACAGCTTGCATCCCATGCAGGGTGGGGCATTCTAAAAACACTAGCCTTGACAATAATCTTCATTGTTAGTCTGTTTCATGCATTGTGTGACATTCTAAGAACACTAGACTTGATGAAAAAAAAACTCATTTAAGAAATACCATCAGATTTGTTTTGTATTTTCAACAGCCAGTGATACACTTCATTTGGATGTACTGGTTGGTTAGGGTATTGGATGTTTTTAAAACTGGAGGAAAAGTCCAGGAAGCTTTCCCTTGTGCTGTCAAGGCTGTCTCCAGGTCGGTTGTCAACAACACAGACACCATAGAGGATGAGGATGAAGACGTGAAAGCCGAGAGACAACGTGTGGAACACTTACAAAGTATTGATTCAACTGTGAGTAAATTAGTTTGTTCTTTATGACCAGTCCTTGAGTCACATTTATAATTGAGGTCTGTCGCTCACATTCATGATTGAGTTCTGTCGCTCACGTTCATAGTTGAGTTCTGTCACTCACTTTTATAATTGAGTTCTGCCGCCAAGTTTAATTTTAGCCATAGTTCCCAAGTCAATCACCTTTCTGTCCTGGACTTTATTTTTCAGCAGCTTTACATCTTAGAGAAGCTTATAACTTAATCAAAACTATGGGCATTCACTCTTATGTAATGTTTTATTGTCTTTAGCACTTTAAACACATTTTCTATGTGTAATTTCAAGTTACCTAATTGCTAATAATTTCAATTGTAACTTTTCAGAATTGAACAATAATAATTTATATGGCTGTGTTGAAAAACTTAATCTACTAATAATTAACCCTTTACAGGGCAGAGGCAAGTCCTCTTGCTAGTCCTGAACGAGCACCATTTCTCCGGTTTTTTAGTAAGATTTTGGGTTACGTTAGTAAAAAAATTAAAAAATGGTTAAGGCAATGAGATGAAAACATCATCAGTGATCAATTAACTTATTGAGCAAATAATCTTGTGTATCCAAATATTTCTTAAAAACTTTAATATCTTTGTTTGAAATTAACCTTTGCCTATGAATTACAATACATCTGTCACCATAAATGAATGAATTTCTATCAAAAATTTTTAAAAAATCAGTTTAAAAAAATCAAATTAGATATGTTCACAATTTAATCAATTAATTTTGTAATTTAAATGTGTATTTTCTAACAGTAAATAAGTTTTATTCCTTAACATGTTTTTAATAGTTACTTTCTAATGACATCTATGGGATACACTATTGTGCTTTGACTTTAACATGACTATTATGAATATTTGATGTACCTGTGCCTGTAATCTACTAACATAAATTTCTGATCTCATGGCTGTTGAGTCACATTAAATTTAGCCTTAATATAACTTTATTAACCTATATAAATTTGTATATCAAGACTGTTATCTTCTTTCTTTTGCCCAATCAAATGAAAAGCTTTAACTTCTAAATTATTCAAACAATCACCAGGAACATTACATTTAAAATGTTGCCAGGTTGTATGAAAACTGGGACGGTGATTCCCATTAAAAAATATCTTTAGATTCATAACACACTATCGCTATCACTATCACTAAAGATTGATAGTGTTTATGTAAGTAACAGCAATGAGAAATAAAAGGCCAAAAAAAAAAAAAAAAAAAAAAAAAAAATAAAAAAAAAAAAAAAAAAAAAACATTATTAGTTCTAAAAGCAATGATTAGCCGTACCACCAAAAATCAGTTAAACTGTTAACAATGGCCTCGACAGCAATAAGCAATAAGACTGTTGACAATGATAAATTTTAAAAAGCAATAGTCAGCAATGGTCATGATCAGCTTTATTTTATTGGTCAACACTTTCTTGATGTAGGATTGATCTTAAAGAGCATTAGAGTTGTGAATGCATTTAAGTGAACCAACTTTTCCCCCACTCTTTACACAGAGCTTTTCCCCACAGTTGGGCCTAAATCAAGCCGCAACTAAGGTACTGCTAATTATTATAATTTCATTTAGTTTTGTATGATAGCCTCCATATGCACTTCTGTTTGGTGTTTTTAATTTCTGTCAATAAATGCACAATATTTATTAAAACCAAGTCCCGAATAGCAAAAATTCCACTGTCAAAACGAGGGGCTGCTTAAATCCAATGATAAAAATTACATGAAAAAGTGTAATATACTACCACTGAGGCTTAACAAAAATACATGTGAATCATTTCTAGATTTTTACTTACATAGTTTGTAATTTTTAAAAAGATTAATCTAGTGTTAATATTAGAATTTGAAATGAGCTTTACTGGGTGCATATTGCTGTATGTCTAGCAAATGTGTGTGTTGTCTTTGTGTAGACATGTAGATACCGGTACCTTCACCATGCTTGCTAAACAATGTGTTAATAAGAGCTGCTAGTAGAACATGATTTGATATTGTAGTGGGCTGACCAACTATTTACCTACCACTTGCTGCCCTTAATTTTCTTTGATCAAGATTCTGGCTGATATTAAATAAGTAATTCAGTTACCGGAAATTAGTATAAAACTAATGTATACGAAGGAATGTTGTTAGAATGGAAGTTTGTTCCAAATGAATTTGTTCCAAATGAAATTTTTTCAAAATGAAATTTAAAAAATAAATAAATTTTAAAAAATGGGGGTCTGCCTAAATATAAATTTTAAAATAAAATTAATTTTTCCACATCATTTTGTTTCAAACAAACTTTATTTTCAAAAAAATTTTGAATTTATTGAAAGAAATAGTGTTTGGATAGATTAGATTGCCAATAATTTTTTTTAAACACATTAATGTTTTCTTTATTTATCACTCAATGCATGACATTGTTGTAGTGCTTCCTGCCCTGTGAACAATGCTTGCTTTCATATCTGCTTCTAAATCATTGCAATATTTTTTGAAACCCTTAAACAAATGTTTTCCTAATTTTTTATTAAATCTAATATTTTGTGAGATCGCTTTTCCCTTTTTCAACATTGATTCTACAGAATTGCGTGTAACTTTCATTATCGCCATAAATATAACTTTATCTGTCTCCCTATAACATAATTTTCTCTCTCATGCAGGAACCAGTGGCCTTCACCTCACAGTTAAGAAAAACGTATGTCAAACGTACAAAAAAAGGGAAGCCGTGCTTCTCAGAAGACACAAAACACAAAACTAAAGTGGCTGTGAGGAACTTGAGCTTTGGTGTTGATGAGGGGGAGGTGGTGGGGCTGTTAGGTCCCAATGGAGCAGGCAAAACCACAGCGCTGAGCATGATTATAGCAGAGACAGAACCCACATGTGGAAAAGTAAGAGATTAATCCAGAGTAGAAGTATCAACTATTTTTTTTCTCAAGATATTGTGGCTGCTAAAACTGAATATTATTTATTAAACTCGTAGCAGTTAGAAATTTTCACCACTATTAATAATTTTCAGATGGATTCATCAGTGGTTTACAATCAGTGAAAAAAAATTGTATAAAAATTTGCATTGTTAATCTGTCATTTATGAAAAATCAGTTTTAATGAATTTTTAGTCCAGCAAAGGAAGTATCTAGAAGAAAAAGAACAATTTTGTGGAAAATGGAAGGAAAACGGAGATGAACTAAAAGCGATGCTGCATTCCTTTAGTGTGAAAAGATGATCTTTTAAAAAAAATTAAAACTTTTTAAAGTGCCCATATCAATTAATAATGTGGGACTTCAGGAAGGTTCCTATCCCTTATTTCTATGCTATTTTATGTCTGACTTGTAATTAGATGAGCTTTGCATAATGATAAAGGTTAATAACAATGATAACTTCAAGGTTTCTATTTATACCTTATGTCAGTTTTCACCCATTATTCTTAACTATGTCTCAATTAAATATTCAACATATTCAATATTAAAAATTGTCACTTATAGTTTGTGTCTTTTAACAAGTTTTTACTTCTATTGTTTTATATTCTTTGTGGAGTCAAATAGACATAAGTTCAAGACTCTGACAATTGCCTCATGACTCCCTTTTCAACTTGCAATGCAGATATGAAACTGCTAACTTTGATTTTGCAGGTTGTAGTGTCTGGACACAATGTCCGCACACACTTGCTCACGGTCTTAGAATGCCTAGGATATTGCCCTCAGCATGATGCCCTCTGGGAAACAATTACACTGGAGGAACACATTAAATGCTTTGCTGCCATTAAGGGCATCGACCCCAAGCGCTTGGACGATGTTGTCAATTTGTAAGTTTTAGAGTACATTTCTTTTTAAATAGGGTGGAGCATCTCTATCTCGAAGCTAAGTCATTTTCTCACGTTCAAAAAGTAAAACTATTGCTAACTTTGTTGAACAATTCATGTGTGTTCTCCAATCTTAAACCATGTATCCCAGCTTGTGGGTGCCGGCTGGCTGAGTGTTCTAAACTGAGTAAATTCCAAGCTAATGGACTTGATTTCAATACCTTGGAGCACAACTCATTTAAGAGAAGGCATATTGCTAAATCAAACACACAAATTGAGTCCTGTAGGCCAGTGGTCCCCAAACCCCGGGCCGGTACCGGTCCATGGATCAAATGGTATTGGGCCGCCGAAGAAACATTAAAATTATTTCCATTTTATAAGCTTGCCAGGTTTTCTGGATGATAAGTACGGACGTATGAACACAAAGGCTCACAGCAACCGGAACCATACAGGCGGAGGGTGGGGGGGCGGGGGGTTGTTGTGCTTGATTTTTTTTTTGGGGGGTGACTCGTACGCTTTTAGCCCCCATCCCTATTAAAAAAACCAAAGACATTAAACAATTTAATGGGTAATTTTAACGTTAAAGGTTACATTTTAAAAAAAAATGAGTCCCGTATACAGCCGACAATTTGGCCAGCCCAGTGGTCCCCATATTATGTGTCGTTCATGCAGAGCCATGAGAATGGGGCAAAGAGGGCTGTCACAGCGGGAACCAAATTCTTCTTTATATAGAATCTTAATAGTGAATTAAAATATCAAATCCCAAATATTTCAGAAAGACGAAGGGGACCAAAAATCGTCTTTTTTTTACTGATCTGCCCAGGGGGCACTTTTTCTATACATTAAGTGGCACTATTTTCCGGCTTCGCCCCAGGTGCAACATTTCCTCTGCAGGAAACAAACAACAGTAAAAACAGAATAAATAAAAATAGCACTTAACTGAAAAGTAGTATCCGAGAGGGCGGCAAAAAAATGGTGAAAACCTGTTTTGCATAAGCGCCGGGAATCAAACATTCTAGGGACCACTGAACTAGCACATTGAAGATACTTTGGAAGAAATATTACTGTGCTACCGCTACTACTGAGTACTATCAAAGCGATATCTATATAGTAGGGTTTGCAATCTGGGATCCCGAATCTCAAATATACTGGAATACCGGATCATAAAGGATGCTAAAAAAAACAAAAACAAACCGGGATTGAATGTATGACAACCGGGATTTTCGAAATTCACGGGATTTCATTAAAAAAATATATATTTATTGTTTTTCATAGTGTCCATGTCGTAGTTAAAGCAAGACATGGCAATAATTTATGTGATGTGCGAACCCCTCACAACACGTGTATGAAGTTCAAAGAAAGCCCAACGACAGACTAGATTATAATTTAAAAAAACATATAAAAAATAAAAACCATCAACTACCCTCAACCCAGTGGGCCGCTGTAAAATTATCAAACGTTGACCGGTCCACACAACATCCTCTTATAGCATTGAAAATGGTTTAAATCATTTAACACTGAACATAGCAACTAATCAAAATATAAATGAGTGTATTTGAAATATTGCTCACCAATTTTTTGTCGCACTTATTGTAGTGGTTATCTTATAGTTCTATTTCAACTACTATTTAGTTGGCAAGACAAGTTCTCATTTTGATGTTCTCATTTTGATGTTCTCATTTCAATGTTCTCATGGGTCATCAGCTACATATCTAATCTGAAGCTGGAGGAGCACAGAAAGAAACATGCCAAGAAACTATCTGGTGGCACCAAGAGAAAGGTTTGAACTTAAAACTACCCACTTCAGTATTGATTTGTGATGATATTTTGTTGTACTGAACTTTTCTTTATTTTTCTCATCTTCCAGACCTTTGTGGTTATTTTTCAAGCATACAAACATGTATTTTATATAGTTGCTTCTTTATCTCCTATGAATTTCAGTATTATCATGTTAATTGGTACTTATATACACAGTTTTTATATTTAAACAAAATTAAGTTCACCATTCAATCAATTTGCTTTGCATAATTTTTTGTTATTGGAATATGATGCCATAATAATGTAAGATTGTCAGTTTAATCTAAAATTTCAAATTAACCCTAGTAATTTGAACCAAAGTCTCCATCTAGATTTTGAGCTATTAACAAAATAAAAGAATATTTCATATAATCTTAAACCTAACCTTATCTCAGGTAGCTATGACACTTTTTATAAGAGGCTTAAGTCAAAGCGTTACCATTTCAATCAAATCTCACTATTTTTAAACTCCTAATAATTGTAATATTTGCTTAGATGAAAGCATTTATTCCTAATTTCTATTGCCAGCTAAGCTACATAATGAGCATGCTGGGATCTCCTCATCTGGTTTTACTTGATGAACCATCCACTGGAATGGACCCACAATCTAAACGTTTCCTATGGTCAGTTTCGGTCTCTTCATATCTTTGGTATTGACAAATATTTGAGACTGCTCTGCGTTATCCAATTGTTTGAAAAAGTTCAATTCTAAATGCCTTTTTGTTGCTGATGTAATTGTCATTTACTCTCTTTTTATTTTGTTTTAAGTTTTTGATTATTATGAAAGAATGGCCCCGTATAAATCTAGACCAACCACTATTTACAATAATATGTTTAATTCACCATTGAATATTTAGCTAAGTAGTAATTGTTAACTCTGTGAGACTGAACAGAGGACTAGGTTAATCTTGGCTTCCCTTTCTCAAATAATTAACTAATGATAAGAGGGTTGGACAGCATTAAAGCTTTTGGGTAGATTAATAAGACACAAACAATGTATGTCAATAAAACAATATGGGTAAAGCATTAATAATGATTACACAGAATGCAAATGTTTTGGCAAACGCCTTCATCAGGACAACCAAATTATTTTAAAAAAAAAATCATTCAAATAAGTATAGATCTAAATTAAATTTACACGAATAAATACACAAATAAACTGTCAAGCTGTCGATCTCTGCTGTACCATTTTGCCCACTTTCTTATCGGTTCTAAATTTGAAATTTGACGTCAACTTAGATATGCTTTAAACTATTTTAAAAAGGTACCAAAGGTAGAGTGTCAGTTGTGTGTACCAGTTAATTGTATGCTAGAGCTACCACTCATGGAAATGAGAATAATAATTCAGAAACAGAATGATGAGTAGATGAACATTTCTTGATGTTTTTTCTAGGGATACCATCAGCTCCAGTTTTAAAGGCACAGATAGAGGGGCCATACTTACCACACATTATATGGAGGAGGCTGATGCCCTGTGTGGACGAGTGGGCATCATGATCAATGGACAATTGGAGTAAGCTTCAGTCAAATTTTAAATGTTGTTGAAATTAATTGAAGGTCTTTAGCAGTACAATACTCTTGATCCACATACTCTTGATCCACATACTCTTGATCCACATAACATTTCTTGTAAACAACCCATATTACCTGCATGCTGCCCCAGAAGTCACAAAACTAAATGAGAACTAATAAGTCCCTGATATGACTAAGAGAGTTCACTGAATGGCTGTTTTTTTCACTAGAAAAATAATTTAATGTAGATGTCTTGTGTTCAAATTGTTTTATTTATGTGCCAAAAATGTAAAATGCAATAAAAAAACATTTCCACTTGTTTGAATCATTAAAAAAAATCGTATCTTATCTTATGATCAGCTTGATGCTGATTTAGCCCAGAACATGGTAAAATAGTTTTACTTTAAAAAAAATGAAAAACCTTGAAGTGGCAGATGTAGTATATCCGAAATCATTATCTAATAAATAATGTGTCTTACAAGAACCTTAGATACTCCCATTGAAATAAAGCACACAAATGTCATGTACCTACCTCTCGATGGTGTTAACCAGCTTTCTGACTGCAGGTGTCTTGGTTCCACTCAGCACCTTAAGTCAAAGTATGGCAGTGGCTACATTCTTGAGATCAAATTGGGCTACCATGACTCAGCACAGGTGGAATCTTTGATGGATAACTTGGAGCAACATCTGAACACTTTATTCCCAGGTCAATACCTCAGATGTGTCTACTTTATGTACATTTGAAACATTTTGACACACATTATAGAATCAAGGTCAATACCTCAGATGTGTCTACTTTATATACATTTGAAACATTTTGATACACAGTATAGAATTCAAGTCAATACCTCAGATGTGTCTACTTTATGTACATTTGAAACATTTTGACTCACTATAGAATCAAAAACTAAATGTTTATTGGTTGTGCAAATCGCAACAAAAACAACAAATTGTTGTGGTACGTTTTCAACTTTATTCCATTTCAGGCAAATTTGTAATACATAAATTTAGTTTCATGAGGCAGTTCACTATCATTTTAATTTCATCTAATTATTCTGCAATTCTATACATTGCCGCCATGATCTATTTTTTGTAACTGAACTATTCTGTTACTGACATTTGACAGGTTTGGAAAAAGTTGAACGCTTCCAAGAGAGAGCTCAGTATTCCATCCCCAGGGAAGATGTCAAACACTTGGGAGCAACATTTGCCAACCTGGAGAGCTGTGAGTTCTTTTAGTTCTTGGTGGTTATTGACCTTGTCGTTGAGGTTTCCTTTTGTTGAGATGCAGGCAGCAGCTGCTCAAACAGTTCCTTGAGTTAATGCTCTCTCCATCACTGGTCAGCTATTCCATGATATCAAGCCCTCCATGGCTAGAGGGTAATTTTGCTTGTGTTTTCTTTGACGACTTACAGCGAGATGACAGTGATCTTTTTTTAAGTCAAATAAAAACGTCATGTTGACCTCCTAATACTATAATAAGTTTATCATTGATCCAGATGGAGGGGGATAACTGGATGCTTGTTCCCTACTGTCGGGATCCGTTTGTGCTTGGTTTCTTTCATCAAATTCTTTTACACGTTCATATGTTGTAATCACACTGAATCAAGTGCAAGTCCCTTTTCCAATGGCAATGTAAACTTTAACCCAGAAACATATATATCAGCGTGTACAATGAATTACATGTATGACGCAGCTTGCTATAAGTAGAAGAATATTGTTTAACCTTCATCCACAAGGTTCTCTCATCAACTGCCAAATGAACAGCATGTATGCCTAAGACAATAGACATGATATCACAACTACAATAAAATTAGTCACAATATGACAAGTCTAAAGGCTGGAAAAGCATTCATTAAATAAACTAATGCACAAAACACATCACACACAGTAAAATGAAAAATGCGGTGTGCAACAATTACTATTGAATACCCTTGCTCGAAACCTCCTTCCTTTCTTTGAAACAAAAAATGAAAATACCTTTTCATTGTTTTAAAAAGGTCTGAAGATGTAGCCAGTTCCGGAATTAAAAGAAAAAGTCTAATGAAACATGTCTTTCTACAGTCTTAAATTATATTTTTGTATTGCTACAGGTAAAACGACACATTGCCTTGAGGAATACAATTTCAGTCAAAGCACACTTGAGCAGGTAATTTATCTTTACCAAATATTTTGTGATTGGAGCTAGAAGTAAAGAAGAACCATTTAAAACTTGTAATATAATCATGTGATGCTTGTATTTATTTTTAAACAATGGAAGCATAACAAAAAGGGAAGCGTTATACGCAGTCGACTGCGCATAACCCTGAGGGTTATTCACAGCCGACTGCGTATAACTCTCAGGGTTATGCGCAGTCGCCTAGGAATCTAGCCAAATAAGGTTTATCAATCGCTTGTTTGGCAATTTAAAAAAAAGTATTATGCGTAATGAGCTGCATGACGGGTTGTTTTGAACTAGAACTTTGAATGTGTTTAACGTAAAATTTTAAGTGAATTAATTTTAATTAATATTAAAATTGTTGATAGCAATAGTATTAGTATTAGTGCTATTATTAGTATTATTGCTTGTATCTTATATATTATAATTATAAGTATAAGTCAAAGTCTACATTTCTTAGAGTCTAAGCCTAAGTCTTAGATTTTTTTAAAGGCATTTCCATGGTCTAAGTCTAGTTATGTATTTTGATTGATTAGGTTTTTATATGTTGCTATGACTATGTCTATGTCTATGTGGTTGGTTTTACTGACTAATTCAGGAAATACATTCTATTTATCTTTTTTTAAATTTTATCATTTATGATTTTTTTTTTTTGATGACCTAAATGTAACAGTTTTCAGCTTCCATGCATATTATTAGTATTATTGCTTGTATCTTATATATTATAATTATAAGTATAAGTCAAAGTCTACATTTCTTAGAGTCTAAGCCTAAGTCTTAGATTTTTTTAAAGGCATTTCCATGGTCTAAGTCTAGTTATGTATTTTGATTGATTAGGTTTTTATATGTTGCTATGACTATGTCTATGTCTATGTGGTTGGTTTTACTGACTAATTCAGGAAATACATTCTATTTATCTTTTTTTAAATTTTATCATTTATGATTTTTTTTTTTGATGACCTAAATGTAACAGTTTTCAGCTTCCATGCAAAACTATAACTGTGTGAAAGTATTACTTACAGTGACCCCTCTACAGAACCCCCTGCCCTACTTACAGTGCTCCCTCTACAGAACCCCTGCCCCTACAGCGATTTTTTTTACTGCTACTCTCAACCCATGATTATTTTTATTACTGTACCAGTGAAACATGATTTTATCTGCCACAAAATTAGTTAGCAACACAAACATATATTTGATAATTATAAGTATAACATTATTAACATTACATTGGTCAAGTTAATAATTCTTCTCATGTTTTAACATTTTTTAGCCAAAACAAAAGTCAAACAATAAGCCTAGTTGTTGCTTCATTCTCGAGAAAAAGCATAGCAACTAACGCGCATTCATGGCTTGCGATTGGCTGGAATTGAACTCCAGACCATCAACTTGAGGTTTGGTCAGTTTAGACCATTCGACCACACAGTCACCCCGATAGCAAGGCCCCCTTATTGATCGATAGTGTAACACAGGAAGAATATAGACGTCGTGACTTGCCGACTGCGTATATCTCTCAGGGTTATACGCAGTCGGCTGCGCATAACCACTTCGTAACAAAAATATTTTCTCTGAGAACATTTGAAATGACCCACATTAAATATTTTGTACTACTCTATCTGGCAGATTTAGTGCTACTGGGCTTAAAATATTTTTATGTTGACAGGTGAATTTTAAATAATTTACACCAAGATGGCTGCTGTCATAGGAATTCTTATCTAAATTTGCTTTACTAGGCTGAACGGTCCATTCTACCAGAATGAATTCCAATGGCAAGATCCAACATCAGCATCATATTTTTATCCCATTTCTTTTTGATTCCCCCAGGTTTTCCTGTTCTTTGCTAAACAACAAATGGAGGAAGGTGAAGAGGAAGGCCCGTCTCATCGGCCCAAACTTTGGTCACCCCCTCCAAAAGTGCCTGCTGCAAGTCTCGTCGTCTAATTTTGGCTTCAGTATCATTGCACTGTACATCCAGATGTTTATTTCATGTTTCTTTCTTTCATTAATTTAGTCATCTAAATCGCATGATCTCAGGAAGTTGGAAGTGACAGGACAGAAATTTAGGCCAACTGTCCTTAAATATTCAAAATTCCAAATCGAGACTTTATGTAATAAATTGGTCATAATTAATCAGCAAACTTTCTTATTTATATCTAGGAAAACCTTCAGAAAATATTGCAGAAAATATTGCAGAAAATTATTGTAATTTACAATATAACAAATTTGATTATTGCATTTATTATAGGATTTATTATATCCTTTAATTAATAATGGAAAAGTACAGTAATAAAAACAAACACTTTCTCTCCTAATAAAAAGGTTTTCTCCCTTGCCTTATGTGCCATTTTTGTATGTGAACATTCTCTTGTGCTCAAGTCATTTCCTTGTTCAATACTGAACACTCCCTCATTTGTCTTTTGACATAAATGAAAGCATTGTTTATTTAGACATTTAATACTCTTACGTCAAGTTCAAAAAGCTTTCGTGTTTGAAGTCAATCCTTGTGGTCGGTAGAGTGCAACAAACTAAACAAACTACACCCAATTTATTTTAAAATGTTCTAGAAAATAGCACATTGATGTTTCAAAATCAGAACAGCAGTTTCATATTTGTTCAGAGATATTCTTCTAAACAATTACCTTTACAATTTTCTTACATGCATAAAATTTAAAAAAATAAATCATGACTTCATGTGATTTCACCTGTGTTTTAAGCTAATATCTATAAAATATTTATTTTGATATAACCAACCAAACTTATTTATTATGGCTTGTATCAGGTTTATTTTAGAGCTGTGTGGCCAGATTTAAGCATTGCCATTTTAAGTAAGTTCTTCTTCAAATATATTTTTCTAGGCAGTGACTTTGTGCCTAGAATTTTAAAAGTGGAAATTCACTCAGAGCTCCATTCTATAACAATGTCACTTGAAGCTTTTAATATTTTCTCTATTTTATGTATGTGTGCAAACCTGTAAGCTTTGCATTGATTTATCTGTTGATATGTACATTTTCCCCCATGCATAATTTAATTTTTTTGTTAACTTTTGTTAATGTCATGTCACAATCAAACTCTATTATTTCTTTACACTAAAACTAGATGTCCTTAAATCTGTACAGTTTATGGAAATATTTTGCAAAGATGTTCTTAAATTTGTACAGTTTGTGGAAATGTCATATCCCAAAGATATCCTTACATTTTGTACATTTGATGGATCTATCATATCCCACAGATGACATTATATAAAAGTTAAATATGTGCAGCTCAATGTTAGATTGTCATTCAGTATGTTCAGTTTGACATTAAATTGACGTTTAATAAGGCCAGCTTAATGTACAATTTAAAAAGAAAAACACTTTGCCATTCCACGCTCACGCAGTAGAGCCTGAACATGGCCTATTGAACCGTCTGGACTGGGTGATCCATTTGCTTTATAAATGAGATGATTGAGTGAGCAAAGGCATTGCAACCCAGTCCTTTCTTTAAGGGTTTCTAACATTTCCAGCATATCAATACTTGCTAAGATTATTTTAATGTTATTTGTAATATTTTCTCTCTACAGTAAATGAAATTGCCAATATTTTAAGTTGAAACATTATTAAATGTTTGTTTATTTACTATGAATTCATCCCCGCTGAATGTCTTTATTTAAACTGTGCCAAATGTTTCAATATGTCTTTTTTGTAAAAACAACCACAGCATTTCTCATATGCTGATCATTTGAACTTCAGTATTCAGCTCATGCAGCTCCTATTTGTACGTGTTCATGAAAAAAAAATACATTGTTTTAAAAGATAAATATGTTTAAAGTGCACATACTATTTTAATTGTATCTTCCTTGTATTTACTATTACGTGTCTTGACAAAAGCTTCTTACTGCATGAGTTATTGCTCTATGTCATGAGATGTGTCTCCAATATGTTGGTCTACTGATCTGTTGATGATTACATCAGAATGCTTTAAGAAAAGGCATATCATATCATTACAATTTATTTATAACATATTTACACTGGTATATTTTTTTTCTTATTAAATTGTTCACAAATACAGAGAAGCTGTTTTTAAAAAAAATAATTTAAAATAAGGCCAATTTAAAAAATGACAAGATAAGACCATTAAATTAAGCAATCATGATATATGAAAAAATACATAAGACCATGAAGAAGAAGACATTTATGATGTAAAAGTTAATTTAATTAGACAATGTGGTAGAGGCATTTCATAAGCCTATGCCCAGGAGGATAAGAGTTAACGCAAGTTAAGTATTGTAGAAAATGCCTATCTTTGTTTAGATAATATTCCAGTATGGCTGTGAATGCTACATGCTTATATTGTGTCATAAAGATTTGAAAGGTGCTGAAATGTGAACAATAAATAGCATCTTATGGACCAGTTTATTTATAATTAATTCCATTGTTATGCTTGCTATTTAAATGTGGAAAATTTTACTTGTGATATCATGAAAATCATGAAATACATTCTAAATATTATTTTTGGACAGGTGACATTGCTACTTTGAGTAAAACATTAGTTTTCTTTGTATTTATATATTAGTAATGCCATTTACCCTAACATTAAAATCTAAATGTACTTTTGCTTGACAATCACAATTGAAGGGGTATTTTGTGTCCTCATTGTTCAAAAGCACAATATTGCTGTTCATGTCATCAAAGCCCTGTACTAATGTTGTTTATTTCATTGATCTTAAGTGGAGTTTCAGATTTGCTTTTCTTATGACTGAAACTACCCTCTCGCTTTCCAAACAGGATTAGTAACTACCTCCATAGGTACTCTTACACACAGGTACCCCACACACTTAGGTATACGACGCATAGGTACCCCACTTGTTGGTACCCCACATGTGGGTTCAACACACATATTACCTCCACACAGGTACCCCACACATAGGTACTCCACACAAATAAACCCCACACACAAGGAATTGGCAAATGCCTGATGATATCAGTCAATACCTTGGATTATACGGTGGGCCTCCTGATGTCCAACAGTTTACCATTAGACATCTGATCTACTCTATTACTAAGACAGAAAGTTTCAAGTTTACATCTTCTTAACTTACTCAGTTTATAAGCCAATAATTGGATACATTCACAGTAATTCTTATACTTTCAATGCATTCTAATGTTAACGTATGTTTGTATTTTGAACAAAACAAACCATATTTTTAAATATGATTTTTTTTTAAATTTCAATTTTGATTTTTAAACAAATTAAAATAAACTGTAAACTCTGTGACCAAAAATTGGGGCTGGTGTCAAGGTGACAATGGACGTTCCTATGAAAAAATATTAGTATCTACAAATAAATTTAAAACAAATAAAAATATTAATGTATTTCTTTTTTTTTTTAAATATTTTAAAATTATGCTAATCTCCCCTTTTTCACTTTGTCAACTATTGAGGTGTGTCCTCCCCTCTCTCTCTCCCCCCCCCCCCCCCCTCTCTCTCCCCCCCCCCCCCCATTAATCTTCATCTGTAGACTACAGGAAAGATTTTATAGCCCATAATTATTGTTCCATTGGAGACTGTTTTTAAATTACATGTATATAAAATTAATCTATCAATCAGGTAAACCAGGTATGAATTTCAAATAAAATCCTTAATATCAAGGAATCTAATAAAAAAGATTACCCACTACATCTCACTATATCTTATGAGCCTCTGCTTTTCCCTGATGTTCTCCCATAACACTTAAAATATGTTTATTCATGTGTTCATTGCCTTGTGCTCTTATTACTTTTGTTCTTTTGATACAGAGTAATTCATGTGTCTTTTAAGATCACTTAATACACATTTATATTTTATACATTCAATTTATCTGCGGACAAAGACAATTAAATACTGGAAATATACCTTTTCTCCAGAGCAACCTTTTTCTTCCTCCAAATATTCTTTTTGTACCTTTTATTTGCAATGCTATTGAGATTAAAGATGTTGGCTTGACCTGGGTGAACTTGTTCTTTGTGTAACAGCCTACAACAGTGGCATCCTATAACATTTATGGTCATTTGTAGAAGAGACATTTAAAAACTTGAAATTTCCCTGAGGTCGTTTGCTGTGCAAGAGACTATTAATATGCTTCGACGAAGGCTGGTTAAGTGGACACAAACAAATTGTGTCAATAAAACAGTATAGGTTCTTCTTTAATAATGGTAGGTACTACACAATGGTCACACAAAGTACAACTGTAAACCTAACGGAAAATGCCTTGATCAGTAAAAGTTATTAAAACAAACATGCATATAAATATAAGCATAAAATACATTTACTTAACACACACATATATATATATATATATATATATATATATATCTTTGTATATATTTTAATTTATCCTACCTAAAAATGAGAGAAAAGTATAACAGGGGCTCAACTCCCTGACAAAAACAAAGTCCAGAAGAACGGAAAGCAAGTGAGGGGAGGTAATATGTAAAATACCAAACAGTCAAGAGACATTGGGGCTTTGTCAAATTGTGGATTTCGTTCATATCCTATGGCGTCAACGTAACAAACTAAAGCTGATTTTCTTTTGATGAACCCCCGATGTAACAGCATAACCCTTGTTGTCCAACTTTGAAAGACTGTAGTGAAGGTCTCCAAAACTAGGACCGCCGTGGGGGAGTCTCTTCCGTTGACCAAGGCAGATTAGTAGCTTCATAACAATAGAAGAGCTTGAATTTTACGAGTTCAACACGAAGAGGGCAATGTGATTTAAGTTCGGGTAAGGCAGCGGTTCTCAACCTGTGGGTCGCGACCCCTTTGGGGGTCGCGGGACCCTTTTCCAGGGGTCGCCTAAGACCATCTGAAAACATATATCCTTACAGCTATGAAGTAGCAAAGAAAATAATTGTGTGGCTGGGGGGTCGCCACGGCACGAGAAACTGTATTAAGGGATCGCGGCACTAGAAAAGTTGAGAACCACTGGGGTAAGGCCAAAGAAAAAAAAGGTTGGGGGGGTGGGGGTGGGGGGAGGCAGTTCTTGGTCAGGACGGTCACGTCAGAACGTTCATTAGAATCAATACAATTCCCGTGGTTTATGATCGGTAGAAAAAGCAGCTGGGTATTTCGTATATAAATAGATTTTTTTAAAAACTTAACTTTTTAAAATTATATTATGTATTTTTTTAGAACCCCTGAAGCCATTGCATAGTAGATATTACACTGAACTCTACACCCAGGGGGAAATGTAATGAACTTCACATTGCATTTTTTCCTTGACGACAAAGTTGGTACACGCCAACACATGGTCACGCATACCAAATTTCTGGCGTGTGAGAGCATTTTGTTGTGTGTGTGAGCAGTTTAAGGTCAGTGGGCGGGGGGAGCATTTTGTTGTGTGTGTGAGCTGTTTAAGGTCCGTGGGGGGGGGGGAGGCGTGTGAGAGCATTTTGTTGTGTGTGTGAGCAGTTTAAGGTCAGTGGGCGGGGGGAGCATTTTGTTGTGTGTGTGAGCAGTTTAAGGTCCGTGGGGGGGGGGGCACTCTGATCCGTGGTGTAGGAAGGAGGGGGTGGTCCGTGGTCCATCCCAGGTGGCATTTTGTTCTATTTCTTCTTCTTCTTCTATATTTTGGGGCTTAAGATGAATGTATTGATCATTCTGGCTCCTATAAATGTTTAAATACAGTTTTTAAATACATTTACCTCCTGACCTTGAATTAGTTTGTTTTTGTTCTTGTCGTTGTTATACTTTTGACTTATTTTAACAATAACAAATCCATCTTGGAAGTCGGGGGAGGGGGTGACACCATAAGTTTACCGCACCGGGTGACACCGACCCTTATAGCTACGCACTGCATTACAGCATTCCTTTTGTGAACGTTCTGATTAAGGTGCCCTCTTAAAAATATATATATATATTTTTTAATAAGTTCATGTTTTCAATATTTTTTTCTTCCTCTATATATTAAGAGACCATGATCAATGTATTGATCATTCTGGCTCCTATGTATGTAGAGGGGATTTACAATGTTTCTATGCCTGGAACTGAAGAGCATATTTCACTCCTCGAGGGGCGGCATTTTCGGCCAACTGCTAAGTTTGTCATGGAAGGGGAGCGCCAAAAAGCTTGACCCGCCACTGGTGGCACTAACACTGGCTACGCCACTGCCCTTGATGCATGTGGATGTAAGGGCTTTGATGGGCGTGATCACGTGTGACCAACTGAACTACCTCCGTCAACTTTTGCACTATTTCCTCAAGGCCTTACTCCTGGCCCTCTTCATTGTTTGAACAAAGGAACCTTGGTAGTCGGCTTATGACATATGTTTTAACCACGTCTCTAGGTCAAATAGACACAGAAGGAGCGATAAACTAACAGTGTACTCATATAGTTCAGAGGTTGAGAGAAGCCTTGGACCATTCGACCTTTTGAGACTCTCAGTGTCTAGGCAGGTGTCTAAAAAAAAGGCGTATCATGTGAAAACGACTTGTGGGCACACACTGACTGCGTCTCAATGTCGAGTGACACTTTCATAGCCTCCCTTTGCATTCTTGATGACGCTAATCCTCATTCTTACGTTGTCTTTTTTTATGACCTATGTCATACAGCACAGTTACCGTCGCCTGGGGACAGTAGAGGAACGAAATAACTTGGGCCCATGTTCACCCCCCCTCCCCCCCCGAATTAGCTTTTGTCTAAGCAGTAAATTGTGGCCGGCCACACGGGGATTGTGGGGCTGAATTTATTTTGGCCACCAGCGGTCACCGCTTGTCGACGTTCAGCCGGACTAATCGAATACTCGGGACCAGCCCATAGTGATACACTCAAATAAGGGAAGGAGCACTGTTGTAATCCAGTAGAAAAAAAGTAAATAAATTTCAAGTTCATATGGGGCTGTGGTATACATGCGCTAATTGCAGGGGGAGTAATTCTCAACCTTTACCGATAGAGCACTGTCTGACGTTAACCTTATTTATATACTTATATTGAAGAACTAGCTAAAGCCCGCCACACAATGGCGGCGACAGAGCGTGACCTTCCATCTACTAAAGTTACTACCACAACAAAATACAAAAAAATAAACATGCATTCAAGCACACATTTTATAAAAATTCCAATAAGTGCGCCCCCCTTCCCTTAATTTCACAACGAGTTACTTAGCTAGGACAATCAGTTACTAAGCTAGCACAAACAGTTACTTAGCTGGGACAACCAGTTAATTAGCTAGGACAACCAGTTACGTAGCTAGGACAACCAGTTACTTAGCTGGGACAGCCAGTTACTTAGTTGGGACAACCAGTTACTTAGCTGGGAAACCAGTTACTTAGCTGGTAAACCAGTTACTTAGCTAGGACAACTAGTTACTTAGCTAGGACAACTAGTTACTTAGCTAGGACAACCAGTTACTTAGCTACGACAACCAGTTACTTAGTTAGGTAAACCAGTTACTTAGCTGGGACAACATATACTTAGCTAGGTCAACCAGTTACTTAGCTAGGACAACCAGTTACTTAGCTAGGACAACCAGTTACTTAGCTAGGACAACCAGTTACGTAGCTAGGACAACCAGTTACGTAGCTAGGGTTGGTGTCCCTTGGTGCGGTCATCTCATGGTGTCACATCCCCCACTCCACCCTTAGACTTCCAGCAAGGATTTCTTCTTGTTGCAATAAGTTCACAATAAAACAATAACAAGAACAAAAACTTATTAATTGAATGGCAGGAGGTAAATGTATTTAAATTTATGAACTGTAACATGTACTTAAAATCGCCCGACCACATCGTATTTGGTATCAATAGAAAGCTTTATTTCGCAGAATTTAGATGAAGATAGCTTCCTATAAGTGAGTAAAATTTCCGAACATTTCAACCGGCGTAATATTATGGTCAAAACGGGTTTTTCTGACATAATTATGGGGTCACCGCATATCTGACGCATCAACATCGATCTTTTAATAAAGCACGCATTCGGATTGGTTACATGTGTGGAAACTTAACGTGTGATCGGTTTTCCTTTTATGAAATTTGGTGAGACCGAGCTGTGTGTGTTCTTTAAATATGCACTTTTTCAATTTGTTGTCACCCCCTGAGATGCTTCCGCACCCATCTAGCCACGCCACTGTTCACAACCGCACACTAAAATTGAGACTATTTCCGTTTAAAAAAAGAAAGAAACTATTATGCATCAAAAGCACTTGCGGTATTTAAAAAATGTAATTTCAAGCACTTATCAGGAATTTTAAATAGTGAAATCAGGGCCATTGGTAGTGTTCATGGTAATACTACATGGAGAATTTTGTATTTTTATAATCTGATGTCACGGTAAAATTTGGTTATAAAAGAGTTGGACTGTGATGAAGCTTTAAAATAGTTTAATAATACGCCAACAATTTGTGTCAATATAACAATATAATTTAAGCTTTAATAATAATTTTACATAATACACAAGTGAACATTTCGGCACATGCCTTCATCAGACATGTTTGGAA